CATTTTCAGAAAGTGTGTGGACGTTTTTTATCTTTTGCAAAGTGCATTTTGAAATTTTTCCCTCGCTTGTCGCCAATGCACGGTGCATTTTCTCTTTTCGCATAGTGCAAATCGCACAGTGCGAAAACCACAAAAAGATGAAATGCACTGTGCAAAATGGGGGTTTTGTGCACCGTGCGGACCGCGACAAAGCTTTTCCCACGCTTGTCGCCAACGCACAGTGCATTTTTCTCTTTTCGCACAGTGCAAACCTCAAAAACCATTTTGCACGGTGCAAAAAACAAAACAAATAGGAAAATGCAAAATGGGGGTTTTTGTGCACGGTGCAGACCGGGAAAAAACTGCTGTCCACGCACTTTATGAAAATACAAACAGTACAGACCTCTGACTCTGTATTCTATTACCCGCCTCGGCCGGTCACCATGCATCTTCCATTGTTCTCATAGACGTCTGTGGCCATCGTATTCTCATAAAGTGCATGGACATTTTTTGCGCCCCGCACCGTGCACAAAACACCCCTTTTGTGCACCGTGCATTTTACTTTTGTTTTGGTTTTTGCATTAAGTCGCGCAGCAAAAATAATGCAAATTTTCACCTAGAAGTCATCGAAAATGAGATTTTTGATTACAAAATCTTAAAATTTTCTGTTCAAAATTTTACATCTTATTGTTAGGAAATTACAGCCTCGATTTTCGACAAGTTTCATCAAAATTTTCCGATACTACTAATTACATATACCTGAAACAAGGAGGTAATTACAGATCGCTTCTCGAAAATAATTTCCCATTGTTCTGCAAAACCATTTATTTTTGTAAAAACGCCATTTTATTTTTTTTTTTATTTTCCGTGGAACGTGAATATAATGTTTGTCATAACTGTCCGTATTTATGACTGTAATTTTTCATTTTTTAGGGAAAAATGCAACGAAAAGCTTGATGACAAATTTGGGTTTGCTTGGAGACCATTTTTGTATGATGATATCGCATGGAATTGTTTGTAAAATACGTTGGCTAAAGCTTTGAGATACTTTTATATGTTCTAGTCCGTTTGAAAAGCCGTCGGAGTGATTTTTGGCGTATGCACTGTGCAGAAAAAGTCAGGGTGCGCCCAACAGCCCACAAAAGACGTATTGCACAGTGCAAAAGACAAGAAATTGAGTGCAAAGAAACCCTTTTGTTGTCGCACAGTGCAGTCGCGAAAATCTTTTTTCCTTTTGCACCGTGCAGGAAGAATCAGCGACAGCCCAAAAAAGACGTATTGCACGGTGCAAAAAAACAAGAAATCGCACAGCAAGGTGATCTTTTGTTCCTTGCACAGTGCAGTCGCGAAAAGCTTTTTTTCGTTTGCACTGTGCAGAAAAAGCCAGGGTTCGAACGACAGCTCAAAAAAGCCTATTGCACGGGGCAAAGGGCAAGAATTTGCACAGTGCAAAAAAAAACTTTTGTTTTGCATGTCGCGAAAATCACTCCAGCAACTTTGCAAACAGACATGAATATATTTTGGTTCTGTATAGAAGCGTTTTCGGGCCGAAAAAATTGATTTTTTTGATCAAAATTTTTTGAAAAATTTTTAATTTTTTTTTGCGATTTTTGACATTAAAAATTTTATGTCTTATTTTTACTGTAGAAGCCCACGTTTTCACAAAAAAAATCTGTTTTTACCGATAAAAATGGAGAGAAAGCGCAAAACTTTTCTCTGACCGCTCTCCTCATTTTTCGCACTCTCTCGTCCGCAAATCTCGTTCCATATCCTAGCTCTCCTTGCAAAACACGTGCTAAAACTTTCAGAAGTTGCTATATGGCATCTACAGAAGATGTAGACAAAATTTGAAGGAGAACTGCGAACATTGCCTCTGGCAATTTTTTTGAATTTCACTCAAAAATCCCGAAAATTGCTCTATTGTTATTTGAAAACGTAATAATTTCTCGAAAATCAACTTTACACTACTGTTTACTACGTTCTGCCCTTTATTTCTCCACTTTTCCCCCATAACTTTTACTTTTCCAACCTTTTTCTGACATTTTCCAAGTTTTTCATCCGTTTTCCCTAAAGTTGAAGCCCCATGTTGCTAGGCATTTAATATTACTCGCACTACTCTTTAACGAGCGCTCTCCCCAATTATGGGGAAGAAAGTAATAACCGCTTTGTTGTAGTCGTCCGTTTTTTGTATGAGTAATCAACCCGGAAGCAAGCGAAGAGCCTTCCGTTTGATGAATTAGTGTGGACGGTTATTGCGTATAAACGGGGAAAGTGTTGGTCATATGGGTAGAATTGGTAATTTTAGTAATTTTGGGAGGGATTATTAACTGGGAAAGGGTTAAAATTCACAGGGGAAGTACTCCAAGTGCGACGCTCAGATTTTGATGAAACTTGGGGACAAATTTAGAATAATTTTTTCTAAGATATATGCGAGAATCCTAGCTCGCGCTTTGCAAAAATTAACGAGATTTTTAGATCGAAAGTCGGCGAAATTTTAGGTCTTTTTGCCGAATTTCGGCACGAAAAGTTTCATGCTTATTTCTACCATAAAGGATAATGTTTCTATAAAAAATCAAATTTTTCCGCACGAAACTGCCAAAGTTATGGCCAAAAAGCGCTTTTCTCTCTGACCGCTTTCCACGTTTAGCGTGCTCTCTCGGCCGCAAAAATCGTTCAATATCTCGGCGTCGCTTGCAAAGCGCGAGCTAAAACTTTCACGAATTGATATTTAGTCCATACCCGACGTGTATGCAAAATTTAAAGAAAATCTGAGCGTCGCACTTGGAGTACTTCCCCTGACAGAAGAAAATTTCAAAAAATTAGGGTTAGATTTTGATAAAAATTTCCCAAATTTTATACCTTTTTTGCAACAGGCATAGGCCACATATTAATTCCTGAAAATTTCAGCTCTCCCTTTGCAGCGACAGCCGAGATATTCAACGATATTTGCGGCCGAGAGAGTACGAAAAAGCGGAGAGCGGCCAGACAGAAACCTTTTTTGGCCGTATCTTTGTCAGTTTCATGCGGAAAAACTTGATTTTTTGTGGAAATATTACTCTCTATAGTAGAAATAGCCATAAAATTTTTCAGGCCAAAATTCGCAAGAAATTGTCAAATTTTTTTCAAATTTCGGCTAAAAATTTTGATCAAAATTTAAGTGTCGCACTGACAATATTTCTCCTCCAATTGTAAGATGGACTTATTTGAGGTTTCCCTGTGATTTTGCAAATAGAAAAAAATGATTTTCAAACCTTCATTTACAACCTAAATCCATCCATTTTACGAAATTTGAGAAAATCAAAGCTCAATTTAAATTTGGCAATTTTTCGAACAGCTGATTTTACCGTTTCCAAGTATAACAACCCCGAAATTAGAGCTTTTACGTTGTTTCATAAACTGTAGAATCAACAACCTGCTCTATCGTAGCACTCGGTGTGAAATGTTTACCCGAATTGCTGCGCATTGAAACGATTTCATACGTCGAGTGCTAAGATCGCGCTGGTCGATGGAAGTCGAATATTTAGCATTATTCCGCAACGGAGACTTGCTGAATTCAAAAAAAGATTTGAATTCGTCGTATTTTACAACATTTTTTATGAATTTTTCAGAAAAAAAATTTTTTAATTTTCGTATAAAATGTCTCCACATGAAAATTTTGGCAAAAAACGTCAAAAGGTTTGAATACGTCGTATTTTACAACATTTTTTTAAGAATTTTTCAAAAAAAAATTTTTTTTAATTTTCGTATAAAATGTCTCCACATGAAAATTTAGGCAAAAAATGTAAAAAGACTTGAATTCGTCGTATTTTACAATAATTTTTCAATGAATTTTTCAAAAAAAAAAAAATTTTTTTACTTTTAAATTTTTTTCGTATAAAATGTCTCCACATGAAAATTTTGGCAAAAAAATGTAAAAAGGTTTGAATTCGTCGTATTTTACAATAATTTTTCAATGAATTTTTCAAAATTTTTTTTTTAATTTCTAAAATTTTTTCGTATAAAATGTCTCCACATGAAAATTTTGGCTAAAAAATGTCAGAAAATGTGCATTTACCGCATTTTACAAACTTCGGCTTTTCAAATTTCCAAAAAATCGATTTTTTTTATTTCCGCACAGTGCAAATTCTTTCAATGCAAAAACACAATTTTTTCGCCATACACACTATGGCCATGCTCAAAACCTTCCCTACCATCCAAATATCACTTACCGTACGAGATTTCTCTCATCTCATCCCGCTACAACGTCGGTTATAACTGCAAATTACACACGGCGGCAGCCAAGTCCGCGCTAATTCCGCGCTTAAGCCGGGGCGTTTCCCTGGTTTCGGATTAATCGCATTTCCAACAAAAACTGAGGGGGGAATCGTTGTTGCCGTGGTAACCACTCATTTACGTGCCGGCTTAATTTTGTATCTCTTTTATAGCAGAGGGCCCAGTTTCTGAAGCCGGACTTTCTGGGATTTCAGGTCGTTGTGAAGCCGGATTTGAGTCGTTTGGATGTTTTAAAGGATTTTCAAGGCTTTTATGGCATTCACATCGCTGTAACATACCTTGACTACAAGATATTTAAGACGAGATTTTGAAAAAATTTTTGAAAAATTTGAATTTTCAAATTGTTCCAAAAATCAATATTGACACTTTGTCCACACAAAAATGTCTGTAGAATTATACTGCAGAAATTTTTTGCGATTACATTGGGGATAACCCACTTTTTTCGACACTTCTTTGATTTTTTTATATAATTTTTGAGGACTTTTGAAAATTTGACTAATTTCTGAAATTTGCATAATCTTAAAATCCACTAAAATTAAATTTCTAGACCTTTTACTTTGTCCTCATTCTATTTTCACGTTGATTTTTTCACAAATTTATCGAAATTCCGCGACTTCCGATATTACCCATGTCTCGTGTTTTCCCCCAAAAAATTTTGTATTTTCTCTCCAATTTCAGCGCCTAAAATTAACTCCGAGCAAGGGCAGCGCACTGCACACGAGATCGAGGCCAATTCCGCGTCGAGAATTATGCTACTCGCCAGTGCGGGCGACTTCGAGGCCAATCGCGGTGACAAGGAGTATATGGCCCAATTGTTGGCTGCACAACAACAGGCGGCCGCAGCGCTCGGACAACAGTGTCAGGTGAGGGTTTGGTGAGAGTTTAGGAGTATTTTAGGCGGTGTAACAAAAATTTTTTTTTTTTTTTTTGAAAAAATTTGCCTTGGTCCCCCCTTACTGTTTTTTTGATGACTATGAAAAGATAAACTCATATTTTACAAAATTTGAAGTGTTTCAGACAAGGATTTTAATTTGTATAGTGACTATATCAATTGTAAGAGCATGCGAAAATATTTGCCATACCCTTTTATCAAAACTATGGCAAGGGGAGACCAAACAAAACTTTGGCCAAGAAATTTTGTTTTCACTGAAATTTGACATGCTCCCTTCTGGCCATGCCTTTGAAAATTATCTCTAAATCTTTGACACTCCTCAGTTTATCATGCCAATTACTTTTTACTAAGTTATTTCACCAAAAACCAATCAAAAAACCTTCTTTTCCCAAGCCCCCTTCAAAATTCCCCATATTTCCCCCAATTTCTCGTATTTTAGGACCAAATGAAAGACTCTGTCGCCACGTCAGCTTCTCCCTCGTCCAGCTCGGACTCTGGATCCAATCTGAAAGCCAGTGATAAAGGTATTTTGGAGAGCAAGACCAATCTGATCATCAATTATCTTCCGCAAACCATGAGTCAAGACGAAGTTCGGTCCCTATTCGCATCGATGGGACCCATTGAATCGTGCAAATTGGTGCGCGACAAGACCACCGGTAAGCGCTGGGACGAGTTTTTTGGACCGTGAAGTGGTTTGGAAGCAATTTGGGAGTTTCGTGGTGGGACCCAAAATTTTAAAAATTTGGCGGGAATTTGAATTTTGAAATTTTTTTTGATGGAAAAATGATAACTATGGACTTTCGAAGTCGTTTTTGATGTATAGAACGCATTTTGAGCAAAAATTTGCAAAAATTTTGAAAATATGGGTCCCACCACGAAAACCCTGAAATGCAGGGGACCCTCCGGAAACGCTTCGAAAACGCACAAAACCGATTTCTTTGCACATTAACCGAATGTTCCCACACCGTTCCACTCTATTTTCATGTGTAATTGTGCCTTATTTTTTTAAAATTTTTGGTTACCGTAACGCGCCGAAAGTCCGGCGACTTTTCGTTCCTTATCTCTTCCATTTTCCTCTTTGGTTCGGCGACTTTTTTCCTGCGTTTCTTTTTTGGACCCTTATGTTTCGAATTTTTTTAGGTCAGAGCCTTGGTTATGCTTTTGTAAATTACTGTAATCCGGACGATGCATCGCGCGCTCGGCAGAGCCTGAACGGCCTCCGTTTGCAGAACAAGACCATCAAGGTGCGTTTTCACAACCCTCTACACATGATTCATTCTTCGACTACATTTTTTTTTTCTTTTTTGCATTGATGTGCTGACCGATTTTTTGCGGAAAATTTTTGGAAAAATGGGAGATTTTGAGATTTTTTGAAGGTTTTGGGGAGAGAAAAGGTGGTAATTGGAAAATAGAATAGACTTGGGATATTTTGAGACTGGATTTTATATTATTTTAGGCAAAAATTAACGATTTTACTTGAAATTTTTGAAAATTGAAAAAAAAAATTTTTTGAAATTTTTGAAAATTGAATTTTTTTTTTTTTTTAATTTTTGATAGATAATTTTTTCGTATAAAATTTAGTCATCTCAGCAGCATATAACGTATTTTGCAACATTTTTTTTTTTTAATTTTTTTTTCAAAAAATAAAAAATTTTTTTTTTTTGAAAAATTTAAATATCCAAATTTAATTTTTTTCTCCCCAAAAATTTATTTTTCAGCACATCAAACATACCATGTCCCGTATTTTACCGAAAAATTTTATTTCTTTGACGAATTTCTTTTGTCTTTTATTTTTCTCTGACTCTCCTTTTTTTGTGTGATGTTTTTTACTTTTTCAAAAAAAAAAAAATCCAACCAAGCAAAATCCGTTTTTCGTAATTTCTCGCTTAGCCTCACACAGTCGTTTTTTTTCGTTTTTTGCGACCAATGTTCGGTCCCGACACGAAAATTTTTATCCACAAAATTTTAGTTGACTAACAAAAATGATTTTTAGATTGACATTTACCGTATTTTGTCTCGTATTTTTGTGATTTTCGGTATTTTGGGAATATTTTTTGTATTATTTTAGGTGTCCTTGGCCAGACCCTCACATGAGACGATTAAAGGGGCCAATTTGTACGTGAGCGGACTTCCGAAGACGTTGACTCAGCCCGAGTTGGAGAAATTGTTCTCCGGATATGGGAATATTATCACTTCCAGGATTTTATCGGATAATGTGACTGGTAAGTTTTGGCGGGAAAAGGCTTTGAGCGCTTTCGGAAAGAGCGGGCGGTCCGTGTCAGAATAGTCGAGTGGTAGTGCGTTTGACTGGTAGTCGAAAAGTCGCGGGTTCGATTCCGGCTCGATAAGATATTACTTTTTAACTATTTTGAATAGTAAATAGTAGAAATTTTTTATGGTAATTTTGATCATGAGCAAATTTCGAACCAAAAATATAAACATTTTCTCCAAAAAAATCGAGTTTTCAACGATTTTTCTCTGATTTTCCAATTTTTCCAGGTCTCTCCAAAGGAGTGGGATTTGTCCGCTTCGACCGCAAATCCGAAGCCGAGATCGCCATCGACAAGATGAATGGGACCACTCCGCCCGGATTCACCGAGCCTCTTCAAGTCAAATTCGCCAACAATCCCGCCGCAGCCACTCAAAAGAACATTCTTCAAGTCAGCGACCTGATGACTCAGGCGGCGCTGGCCCCAATCGCAGCGCTTCAATCCGTCGCCGCACTTAACTCGGTCCAACGGCCAGCTGTCGGAGCGATTCGACATACTCCGCAGCTCGGCCAACTCCGATATTCTCCGCTAGCGGCGCCCAATCAAATGACCCCGTCCACGGTGGCGTCTCTGGCGGGCGCCACATTTTGCCCAACGCCCACAGCCGATTTGCTGACAACTCAGGCCATTCTACAACAGTTGACGGCCGCGCAGAACCAACAGCAACAGTTTGCGGCGCTGAATGCGGCCGCTCTGGCCAGCCAACAACAGGCGGCGCAGGCGGTTGTGAGTGCGGTTCCGAATGTTCAAAGTGTCGCAGCGCCAAAGGTTCCGAGTCCAGCGAGTAAGTGGTTTGTTTAGAGAGTAAAGAAATGTCTTCTGAGTGGTCTAGACAAAAAAATGAAAAATAAAAAAAATTTTGGTCTCACCACGAAAACCTGAATTTCCTTAGAAATGAAAAATACTGTTTCTGAATGGTAAAATACGCGGGGTAAAGTGAATCTAAGCATTTTTTTGATTATTTCTTTTGGACACGCTTGGATCGGAGCTTAAATTTTAATATAGCGGGTCCCACAACGAAATCTTGATTTTCGAAAAAAATGAAAATATTTGGTACAAATGGTAAAATACGTGATGCATTTTTATTTTTATTTTATGCAAACTCCTAGTAAATGAATGAATCGAGACGATTGAAATTTAAGTTTTGGGTCCCACCACGAAAACTTGAATTTTCCAAAAAAAAACAAAATTTAGTTACTAAATGGTAAAATACGGCTTGTCTGCTTTTTATGGCTTGTCTACTTTTTATTAAAAAAATTATTTTGAGGAACATAATAATCGAAATTTGAGTTTTTGGGTCCCACCACGAAAACTTGAATTTTACAAAAAAGGTAAATTTCAAAGTTTTAAATACGGTGCCCCTTCCATGATTTTGTTTTAAAAAAATTATTTAAGGAATAAAATAACTCAAATTATAATTTTCGGTCCCACCACGAAAACTTGAATTTCCCAAAAAAAGCAAAATTTTATGTTTTTAAATGGTAAAATACGAGTTAGGTTCTTCAATTTCTTAAAAAGATTCTTCTGAAGATCATAGTAATTCCAGTTTGAATTCTGGGTCCCACCACGAAAACTTGAATTTTCCAACAATGCGCAATTTTTTCAGCAAATAGCGCGAACGGCGGCTTCTGCATTTTCGTCTTCAATTTGTGCCCCGAAACCGACGAACCCACGCTCTGGCGACTATTCGGACCTTTTGGCGCCGTTCTGCACGTGAACGTCATGAAAGAGTACAACAAGTGCAAGGGCTATGCGTTCGTCACGATGGCCAATTATGAGGACGCCGTGAACGCGATCACCAACCTGAACGGCACGCAGCTGGGCAACAGGACGCTGCAGATCAGCTTCAAGTCGGCGCAGAACGCCATGTATCGCTAGGTTCGCGAGTTGGGCGGTTTTGTAAAGATTTTTGTGTAAAAATGCCGATTTAACGGGATTTTTGAGGAATTTTGCGGATTTTTGAGATTTTTTTGGGGGTTTCGGGGCAAAATTGAGGGTAAGATAATTTTTTAATTGTAGTAAAAAGTAGCTACTGCTAAGAACTTTTAAATTTTCATGGTTTTTCAGTCATTTTCAATCTGAAAAATTGAAATTTTTGCGATTTTTTGCGAATTTTTGCGATTTTTTGCGAATTTTTGCGATTTTTCAGCATTTTTCCAACTTCTTATCAATTTTTAAAAAATTGTACCATGAAGTTGTCCGTATTTTACCCTGATTACTTTTCTAAAACCAAAAAAAATCCAAAAAATCCCATTTTTCCCCAAAAAATCCCGTTTTTATCGCTCTAATTCCCCCAAAATTCTCTTCTCCTTCCATTTCCTATAAGTTCACATCAAAAAAAAACAAACAAATGTGGTTCGTCCCCCATAATACCGCGACTTTCATAATATTCTCGTCATTCTTCGTACTGGTCAGTATTACCGTCTGATGGGCGATATCGTCCGTTCCCATCCATTCTCGTGGAGCTTATATTTCTATTGTCGATCAACATGCACTGTGATAACAATTGTCTTCGTATTTTACGGAATAAATGAAAAAATTTTTTTTGAAAAAAATTAAAGTACCCCATTTTTTGAAAAATTACAGTATCCCCTTTTCCGAAAAATTACAGTAATCCAATTTTATAAAAGTTACAGTATCCAATTTTTGGAAAATTACAGTAACCCATTTTTCGAAAAATTACAGTAATCCAATTTTATGAAAAATTACAGTATCCCAATTTATAAAAGTTACAGTATCCAATTTTTGGAAAATTACAGTAACCCATTTTTCGGTAAAATACAGTATCCAAATTTTAGAAAAATTACAGTATCCCACTTTTTTTAAAATTACAGTAACCAATTTTTAGAAAATTTACAGTATCCAATTTTAGAAAAATTACAGTAGCCCATTTTTCGAAAAATTACAGTATCCCATTTTTCGAAAATTTACAGTAACCAATTTTATAAAAAATTACAGTACCCCTCATTTTTTGTTCCGTTTGATTTTGAAGCTACAGTATCCCCATCAGTTTGAGTATTCTTTTACTTTTGAGTTCAGTATTCTTCCTATGTATCCTTTTTGTCTTCAAATTTTTAATTTTATATTTTAGTTTTTGCTTTTGTTTTCATTTTTATTTTACTTTTTTTGATGTGTGATTGTATTGTGCGACTTTTTTTATAGTGTTAATGAATAAAGTTTTTGTACCAAAGCCTTGGTTTTTAGTGGTCTTTAGTTTACTGACAGGGGAAGTGCCCGAATGCGACGCTCGGATTTTGGTGAAACTTGGCACAAATTTTGATTATTTTTTCTCTCGGCCAAAAATACCGTGCAATGTCTCAGCTGTGCCTATTCTCGACCTAAAACACTCAGGAATTGATGCGCGGCTTATGCCTGACGTGTGAACAAAGTTTCATCAAAATCTGAGGATCGTTTATCATTTCGATTACTATAATATCAATGGAAATAAACTTGACTTGGCAGAAGCAAAACATTTTACAAACAGAACAAATTGGCGCCACTCTCAAGTTTAGATAAGCAAGTTTCAGCTATGTGGCTGCGTCGGTGCCAATCAGAGATTGCCATGGCTCCGGAGCCGGCTCTTGGCTCCGGCTCTGAGCGGCTCTGGCTCCGAGCCGGGAGCCAGAGCCGGAGCCGGAAATTTTGGGGTCGGCTCCGGCTCCCGAGCCCAAAGTCGGAGCCAGACTTCCCAGCGGTCAGAAAAGTAAAAATTTCGTGATCTTGTTAAGCGAAATTGCTTGAAAAACACTGCGGAGGATGTGACTTGACTGCAGAAACGTTGGCTGTATGATGTCTGGCACTAATAACTTTCATTTTTGGAAAAATATTTTTAAAAAGACATTTTGCATAGGAGCCGGGATTCGGAGCCGGAGGCCTTTTTAAATTTTGCACGGAGCCAAGAGCCGGAGCCGGAGCTGCAAATTTGGCCTCGGCTCCGGCTCTGGGAGCTAAGAGCCGGAGCCGGAGCCGAAATTTTGACCGTGGCAATCTCTGGTGCCAATTTCACTGTCATAACTTTAAAAAATCGTGTGATGGCCAAAAAAGCGCCCAAAGGTCTCCGCCGAACACAATGCTTCCCGCGTTGGCGGAGAAAATGATTTTCTTAGACGAAAAACCTCATCCATATCATGCAAATTGATTTTTTTGGATATCTTGACTGAGCGCCAAGAAATCTACAAAAACGTTCCACAGAATTTCTTGAAACACCCTGTAGAAATGCCACCCTCAAGTTCCAATAAAATTGTGTCGTACGCCGAGAGAAATTTTACACGACTTTGCAGTTAAAGTCATCAAAATTGGTCGCTCTTCTATACCTTCTCCTCCAAGCAGCTGCCTTTCGAAAGCATAAAGTTTAAAGTCAGAAACAGAGAATTGCTGACAAATTGCCATAACTTTTCTGTTCTCTGTTTCTTTTTCTCTTTTCCATCCCCGACTCCAAACTCCAAGCCCAGAGGGCTCACGGACCCAAAGAGTTGTTTCGAGCGACAAATCGGCAGACCGGTCTTTCGAAGAGCGTTATCCATTGAAGGTCAATGGAGGAAATCGTGGTTGTTGACAACCCCAAACCGTGGGTTTGGTCCGAAATTGCGGAGAGGGTAAGATTTGATATTATTATATTGCTTTTAACACTTTTTTCCTTAGAATGGGCGAAATAAAATATATATATATATATAAACCATTGAAAGTTAGGATCCAAGAGGACAAAATGGAGCTAAAAAAATCTAAAATTCCATAAGACAGGCCTCAAAATTGAATGAAAACCAATTTGATTTTGCGGTGACACAATTTGTTTTCTCAGCGGCGGTCAGATTTTCAATGCGACAGAATGCTCATTATTTTCCGGACAGACTGATATTTTCTATAAACTACGGCAATTTTGGCCAAATTGTTGCTATGGCATCTTCACTATCGTATCGCGAAATATTCCGATATCGCACATGGACATTTATCACAAATTTTTTTTCAAGCGTCCCAACTCTGATCCAATACCTCTGACAAGGAACTTGAATCTATAATAATATCAGTCTGTCGGAAAAATAACGAGCCCGTTTTCCTGCGCTGATTGCATCGCTGAATTGAAAAGCAATTTGATTTTGTCACGACGCAATTCGTTTTCTCAGCTACGACAGAGTGCTCATTATTTTCCCGACCGACTGCTTATGCATGTAGTATAAAATAAGGCAACTTCCAGGTGGCCGAAACCGAGGGATGGGCTGTATCCGACAACGACTACAACTGTTGGCGCAGCGCGTTCGGTGACGACTTTATTTTGAGGGTCTTTTTGACAAAAGGTAAGTGCTGACACGGCGATTTGGTTTCCAAAGAAATATCTATCACATACACAACGCAATAAAAAGAAATGTTCAGATGACAAATTCATCTGTTCCTTGGCAATTGCCACTTATCCTTCAGCTGATCCTGAAGGGTCTCCGCTAACTACTGTTGGTATGTTCTACACTGCTCCCGAGTTCCGAGGGAATGATTTTGGAACTCAAATGTTTTTCGATCTGGTGGAGCGAGAAGAACATAATGGCCATAACAAAGGGCTGATTGGAGGTGAGTTTTAGGTTTTGCTGTATCTTATTTTTACTCGCAATATTTCTCGAAACACCCTGTATAGCAGAGTTTCTTTACATAGACGTATTTTACCTATCTTTGCAGTCGAAGCAATGGCCTCGAAATACGCAGCTCGCCATGGCTTCGATAAAGAATCCGGCTTTGTTTGGGACTGCTACATCAACGATGGCACTGATTTCAAGCCGGAAAACTTGGAAAGGCATCCTGATATTGTAATAAAAAGAGCCTTGGACACGGATTTTGAGAAGTTGGTCGCATACGACCAAACAATTGCCGGTAAAATCGACCGAAGGAAATATTTGAACAGTGGAATTCGAGTGCTTCAAAGTTACTCATTGGTGAGTAAAAATTGTTTTTGAATTACTGAGATTGATAAATTTGGGTATTTTTGCCAATAATTTTTAGGCTTTTGAGAAAAAAAGTTTTCGTTGTGGGACCCATAACCTTAATTTTATTGGCTAAAAAGTTGAAATAAAGCAGTCAAAAATAAAAAATAGAAATTTTTTCTTTCGTATTTTGCAAAATAGTTTATAAATTTATAGTTTTTGCAGAGACCCAGGTTTTCGTGTCGGGACCCAAAACCAATTTTTTTTGTGGCCAAAACGTAAAAACAAAGGGTTAAATTGACCAGAAATGATTCAAGCAATTCGTATTTTACAACTTCAACCGCGATTTACTGATTTTTGGCAATTTTTAGTCTTTTGAAAAAAAAAAGTTTTTGTTGCGGGACCCATAATCTTAATTTTATTGACTAAAAATTTTAAATAAAGCAGTCAAAAATAAAAAATAGAAATTTCTTCTTTCGTATTTTACAAAATAGTTTATAAATTTCTAGTTTTTGAAGTGAACCAGGTTTTCGTGGCGGGACACAAAACCTTAATTTTTTGGCCAAAACGTAGAAACAAAGGGTTAAATTGACCAGAAATTATTCGAGCAATTCGTATTTTACAACTTCAACCGCGATTTACTTATTTTATAGAAAAGCGAGTTTTCGTTTCGGGACCCAACGTCATAATTTTTTTTTTTTTTGATATTTCAATGAAGTCTTTGTTATAAAGAAGGTCCCATTTTTCCCATTATCTTAATGTAAAATATGACGTCATCAACCAAATTTTGACAATTTCAGGCAGCTCTAAACCCCGCTGGAGAAGTTATTGGCCTTCTGAGAGGTCGAATCTGCGCTCAATATCAACTTTATATTGGGCCTCTTTATGCTGACAGCCCTGTAGGTCAAAAAAAGGCTCGATTACTACAAAAAACTCTCAATAATTTGTGATTTCAGGAGATTGCAGAATCTTTATTACACGAGATATTTGTGAATACCCCAAGAAAACCGAATTTGTTCACCAAAATTGTGATCGCAGCGCCTTCAACTAACCTCGAATTTGTGAAATTATGGTCGAAATTTTGTGGCAGAGAGGCCAAGAAAGCCGGCTCAATGCATTCGCAGTTTACTAAGGAGGTTTTGCAGGTGAATTTTGAGATTTTTTGGATTTTTTTGATTTTTTAGCTGCGAAAATCGATTTTTTACTTATAAATTGTCGTTTAGGTCCCAACGGAACGAGTTTTTGGGATTTTCGACTACTGCATGAGCTATGTTTGACCTACTGCTATTTATATGACATAAATAAATGTTAACTTTTGACTTTTATTAAATTTTTTTGCAATAAAATGTGAATATTGGAAAATTTACAAGGCAAGTACTCCAAGTGCGACGCTCAGAATACTATCTGGTACTATACAGTACGAGGTGAAAATATGGCTTATGGCGTTAATGGTGTTGTTTTGATGCTTAGTACTCCTCAAAAACACGTTTTGAATAACTGGTACTGATTAGTACTGTCTGGTACTATGTAGTACAAGGTGAAAATAGGAGTACTAAGCAACAGAACAACACCACTAACGCCTAAAGGCCAAATTTTTACCTTGTACTACATAGTACCATACAGTACTAAACAGTACCAGTTATTTAAAAGGTGTTTTTGAGGAGTACTAAGCATCAAAACAACACCATTAACGCCAAAAGCCATATTTTCACCTATTTTTACCAAGACATATGCGAGATTTCCAGCTCGCGTTTTGCAGAAACGACCGAGATTTTTAGCTCGAAAGTTGGCAAAAATGTGACACTTTTTTTGCGATTTTTGGCACGAAAAGTTTTGTCCCTATTTCTATCGTAGAAGGCAACATTTCCCCAAAAAATCAAATTTTTCGGCAGGAAACTGGCAAAGATATGGCTAAAAAGTGTTTTCCTCTCGGGGTCTCTCGGCGTTTTGCGTGCTTTCTCGGCCGCAAAGACCGTTGAATATCTCGGTGGCGCTTGCAAAACGTGAGCTGAAATTTTCAGGCATTGATATGTGGTCTATGCCCGAAGTGTGTGCAAAATTTAAAGGAAAGCTGAGAGTCGTACTTGGGGTACTTTCTTATATATTAGAATTTGGGTTTCTTTGAATAATCTCGATTTTAAAAAACAAATTGAGGCCAATTGGTGGAAATTTGGACATCATCGGTACATGAAGGAAGTTTTAAAAGTAAAAAACCTTGTTTGAGGACTTTTTAGGCGTTTTCGAGAATTCTCAGGTTTTCGTGGTGGGACCAAAATTTCAAAATTATAATTCGTTCTAAAATCATTGGGAACCTTTTGTCGCCTATTTAAGAACATTATAATTCCATTACGATGTTTTCCAGATCCCAACCGACCGAGGTTACAGCTTCTTTCACTACATTTTTAGTTATGTTTATTCAGATGTCAAGTATAATATAAATTTCTGCTTTTATTTAACGAATACGCATTGCGTATAGTAAAATACGCATTTTTATCCTTAACAATTCAATTTACTGAAGTTACATACGAAAAACCACCGATTTTACGGACATTCTTCGTATACTGGCTCCGCAACCTGCAGGAAGCCCGGGCGCGAGCTGCGGAAAAATAAATTTTATTTTGGGAAAAAAGTTTCGAAAGTTTCCAAAAAACTCGTGGTAAACTGAAGGAAATGAGTCAGAATCGAGGGTATTTATGGGTTTCTAACTCGTAAACAATGTTTTAGTGCCGGTTTGTTCGAAAACTTCTAAATTATTTGTTATTTGAAGCGAAATTTTAGGTGAAGTTGGGTGAAAATTAAACAATTTTGTCCTGTACTTATCTAAAATTGTATTGACAACTAGTGTAAGCTGTTATTTTTTGATTGGCGCCGTGATTTTACTATTTTTGGCATCTCCGATCAAGTGTAATATAATTTTTTTTTTCCTTTACCAACTAAAACAACATCTTTTTAGATGACCGATCCTCGACACACTCTTATTACCTCGATTTGTTGGATTGAACGGGGTGTTGCTGCCGAGAAACCTCAATATGTCAAACTCGAGCCGCAGACGATAAGTGAGCTGATCCAGGGCTCTCATCCCGAGAACACCGAGGATGATCAGACCTCTGATGCTGATATGGAGGAGTCGGAAGAGCAGCCAAAGACCAAAGGGATCAGAGGAAGCAAAGCAAACGCAAAACCGGAAGATCCGGACGACAAGTACAACTTGGAGAATTATGATAACGAAAAAGTGGTGTAAGTTCGATTTTCTTTCTGTTTTTTGTTTTTAGAAGATGATGTGAAGGTCAAGGAAGCTGTGGGGACACTTTATTTTATAGATTTGGAGGTATTTCAAGGTGAAATAGAGAGATTTTGGCTGAGCCCCACTTTTCCCTAGTGTAATGTCGAAAAATGTCGTAAAGTCCCGTTTTTGATCAAAATTTTTGGTGAATTTTTTGTTCCAATTGTAAAATACGTTTTGGTATTCGATTTCCACTCAGGTTTCTTTTCCTTGGACACGTTTTTTCACTCAAAATTTGATCACCTTCCACTAGCACATCCAAAAAAATGAAATTCTATTTTGTTTCATTCCGGATCAAGGAAATTTTTTCAGTGAGCCCTCAATGAAAGGTCTATCTGTCTTTGCCAACAACTTGGAAGATCCGTATGTTACAAAAACCATCGACAGTGAAGATGAAGCCGAAATTGAAGATTTGAAGGTGAAACCTGAAGATAATCTGGTTGCAGCGGCAAAGTTCGAAGGGGTAAGTTGGGTAAAATACCAAACATTGTTTGTGAAGTATGCAATTTGGCTTTTTACATGATTATTTATGAATTTTTGGAGTGAAAATTTGATTTTCTACCTTATTTTAGGTGGAAAATTAAAATTTTTTGTCGAAAACCAAAATTAGTTTTCAGTTTGAAGCTTAAAATACTTTCAGGATGACACAACACTCGTGGTCTACCTCTACAACACCAACGGCGACTTCTACGTCCACCACGATTATCCCGTTTCAGCTCCCATCCTCTGCATGGAGCATATAAAATACGATCCCGGAGTCGAAGACCGCAAAGGGAATTTGTTGGCGGTCGGCACAATGAACCCCGTCATCGAACTGTGGGATCTGGACATTGTGAATGCGGTCAAACCGTTGGGAACTTTGGGCGAAACTCAGAAAAAGGGCCGCAAAAAGCGGGATGGCTCGGGTCAAGGGCACAAAGACGCGGTGCTGAGCTTGGCCTGGAACCGAGAGGCCGATCATTTGTTGGCCAGCGGAGGAGCGGACGAGATTGTGGTGCTGTGGGATCTGGACGAAGCTAAGCCAGCCCAGAATATTAGACTAGATGGAATGGTAAGGAGAAGATAAAATAAGATGGATTTTGGATAAGAATGGGCTTGAAAATTGTTGAGAGGAGTCTAAATATCACCAAAGAGCTGTTAGATTTATGGAAAGAGAATTTGCGAAGTTCAAAAAAGCTTTCATTTTTGAAATTTTTATTTTTGTTGGTTGTTTTAGATAAAAAGGTGAATTTCTCGAAGTGCAAAGCTCAGATTTTTTTCAAATTTTCTTCTGTATGTTCTATATAGCCCACAGAATTATCCCTTAAAATTTTAGCTCGTGCTTTGCAAAGTTAGTCGTGATTTTCAACGATTTTTTTGGAAAAAATCGATTTTTTCGAAATTTTACAGTGATGGACCTGATCCAGTGGCCAAAAGCGTACCATTTTGTATCCAGGAAGTATCGAAAAAAGTAGCAAAATGCCTCCATCTCCAAGTGAAAAAACTCCGTTTGTGAGGCGCGTTTTTGAAATCGGAGTTTTTTCACTTGGAGAAGGAGGTATTTTGCTAAATTTTTTGATAGTTCCCGGATACAAAATGGTCCGTTTTTTGCCATTGGATCAGGTCCGTCGCTGTAAATTTCAAAAATCGATTTTTCCCAAAAAAATCGTTGAATATACCGACTGATTTTGGAAAGCACGAGCAAAAATTTTAAGGGATGATTCTGTGGGATATACAGAACATACAGAAGAAAATTTGAAAAAAAAACTGAAGTTTGCACTTCGAGAAATTCACCTTTTTATCTAAAACAACTAACAAACATAAAAATTTCAAAAATGAAAACTTTTTTGAACTTCGCAAATTCTCTTTCCATAAATCTAATGACTCTTTGGTGCTTTTTAGACTCCTCTCAACAATCTTCAAGCCCATTCTCATCCAAAATCTATCTTCTTTTATCTTCTCCTTACCATTCCATCTAAAAAAAAGTTTTTTTTTGCCTCTGGATTATGTCCGCCACTGTTTTGGCCGGAAGAATTTTTTCAATTTTTCCCTATTTCCAGGTCCAAACCCTCGACTGGCAGCCCGGACAGGCGTCGGTGATCCTCTCGGGCACCCGTTCCGGCAAGGTTCAGATCAATGATTGCCAGTCGAATCAGGTCATTGAGTTGTTTGAAGACAAAAACATTGAGATTGAAAAGGTTCATTGGGACCGATTCAACGAAAACAAACTTTTTGTTTTGGGCAGCGACGGAGTTTTGAGGTATTTTGATGCGAAAAATCCGAAAACCGTGCTCTGCGAGGCGAAATGCCATGAAGCGGAAGGTGCTGTGTTCAGTCAGAGCACCAGAAATGGGCTGTTCACGACAGCGGGAGAGGAGGTAAGTCGTTTTGAAAATTGTTTTTGGAGTTTTAGGGAAAGTTTGAGAATTTTTTTGGACTTGGAAATTTTTTGGTGCTACGGCTTTTTGGGTCAGCGACAGTTCGGGTCAACGCAAAATCGATCGATACGGGGCGTTGGGAAGGTGGATATTACGCTCAAAAGTGCAGAGACATTTTCCGGCCTTTTTTGCACCGCACCGTGCATGTTGCGCGACGAAGTCCATTTTGCACTGTGCAAATTCTTTTCGCACGCCCAAAGTTCGCAGCGACACAGCTTAGAAAAGCTTACGTCGCAGCGATATCCGGTTGCACAGTGCAAAAGGTCAAATGCACCCCGCAAAAAGGAGGTTTGTGCACGGTGCGGCCCACGACAAAATGTCTCTGCACTTTTGAAAAAGCGTAATACTCAAAAAATAAGGCTATAGGAAGTGCCTACGAGGCCTGACAAAGCCGTTTGATGGTCGGCGGACGGTCGGTGGAGACTTGGCGAAGACTCGCAATATGTCCAGTTTTTCTAATTTTAGCTATTACTAACGTTAGTTTTCTTTACCCTGAGTTATTGCAACATATAAAAGACCAAAATTTGCGGCAAAAAACGAGGATCCGTAACTTTTATCTAGACATTATTGATGTGAGTACATGTAAAATACCTCAAAATAGGTGATAAGCTATCCTAGGACTCGATCAATCTTATTATTTCTACTAACTAAGCCTTCCCCTAGCCTCCCTCATGCATACAACGACGACCTTGCGGGTCAGCGACGGTTCGGGTCAAATGCATAGGAGAGGCTAGGAGAAGGCTTAGTTAGTAGAAATAATAAGATTGATCGGGTACCAGCATAGCTTATTACCTATTTTGAGGTATTTTACATGTACTCACATCAATAATGTCTAGATAAAAGTTACGGATCTTCTTTTTTTGCCGCAAATTTTAGTTTTTTATATGTTACAATAACTCGGGGTAATGAAAACTAAGGTTAGTAATAGCCAAAATTTGAAAAAGTGGACATATTGCAAGTCTTCGCCAAGTCTCCGCCGAGCGTCCGCTGACCATCCAGCGACTATGCCAGGCCTCGTAGGCACTTCTTACAACCTTTTTTTTCACTATCCACCTGCCCTACGCCCCGTTATCGATCGATTTTGCGTTGACCCGAAAAGTCGGGACCCGAATTTTCTTGGCCAAATAACCACGGATAACATGCGTATTTTACCCCCAATTTTCAGGAACTCAAAGTTTGGGCCCTGGAAGGCGACAAATTCCAACTCTTGAACACCGAATCTCTGAATCTCGGAACAATCAGGTCCGCCGCTTTCTGTCCCAACGCTCCGAACGTCATACTGGTCGGTGGAGAGAAGCGGGAACTCATAAAAGTCTATGATATTGCCAAAAGATCGAATGTAACCGACAAGTTCCCGGATCTGAATCCCACCGCCGAACCCGAGGAATTGGAGCCAAATCAAGCTCAGGAAGAGGAAATGGACGAATAAAATTCGAATGAAATTCGCCAAATTGCTTGTTTTTTTGTTGTTTTGGCATTCCGAACCTTCAAAGATTATATTTGTTATTGTTAATCCCATTTTTTGTTATATTACTTTAGATTTTTGACATCTAGAGGAATGTTTTGTTGTTTTTTGAGTAAAATTTTTAAAAATTATGCTTAAATTTATGGCTACCCTTCATTTGGGACAAATCGGTATCGCACCAATATTTACAGGGTCTTTCAAGAAACGTGAAGGAAGGTAGGAGGCTATAACTTTCGGCGGAGGCGGCGCAGAGAGTTCGTTTTTGAAATATGTATTTTTCAGCGACATTATTTTTTGCCTACGAAATAACAAGATTTTAAAGTGCAAACTGAGGTCGCTACAACCTTTGGAAAAAGGGCTCTTTTACCCTGAAAACCAAGGTTTTTCGGTTGAAAATGATCGAGAAATTTCAGAGTTTTTCGGTCGAAAATCACCAAGAAGTGTTGAAGAGTAGCCGAATAGTTGCTTATTTTTCAACGTGTTGGCAACATCCTTCCCTTTTTTCAACGTCAACTCTATCAAAACCCCCGAAAAAAATCCGACGTTTCTTGGTGATTTTCAACCGAAAAACTCTGAAATTTTTCGGTCATTTTCAACCGAAAAACTTTGGTTTCCGGGGTAAAAGAGCCCTTTTTTCAAAGGTTGTAGCGACCTCAGTTTGCACTTTAAAATCTTGTTATTTCGTAGGCAAAAAATAATGTCGCTTAAAAATACATATTTCAAAAACGAAGTCTCTGCGCCGCCTCCGCCGAAAGTTATAGCCTCCTACTTTCCTTCACGTTTCTTGAAAGACCCTGTATATAGGGCTCGTGCTTTATAAGTTTCGTCGGCTTTGCAAAAAAATGTTGCAAAAAGGCGTTCAGAATTCGCTCTGAACGCCTTTTTGCAACATCAGTTCAAATCGTGAACTGATTATTGCAAAATCAGTTCACGGTTTGAACTTATGTTGCAAAAAGGCGTTCACGATTTGAACTGATGTTGCAAAAAGGCGTTCAGAGTGAATTCTGTTTGCAAAGCCGACGAAACTTATAAAGCACGAGCCCTATATATGGATCGGGCTTTATAAATTTCAAAAGTGAATCCAGCAAAAAGTGCAAAATTCAGTCCAAAGTGCCACTTTGGACTGAAATCGCCAAATAAAGTTTGTTTTCCAAACAAATTGCACTTGTTTGCTTGGATTTCTTGGTTTTGTCCACCGTCCAAAAAGTGAACAAAGGATGGACAAAAAACGGCAAATTTAGTCCAAAGAAAAACTGGCTCGTTTCAATCACTTTAATTTTATTTCATTCAATTTTTGTGGTCCCTAATCATTGTTCCAATACGTAACTATCGTATAAACCAAGTACTGGGCAAACCAGGCCTAATCTGAAGTCTAGCGCCTCTTTTTTGCGCTTTTCGGTTGAAAAGTTATATTGTACCAGGCAAACTAGGTCAACTTTGATGTCTAAGGCCCGTTTTTTGCGATTTTCGGTTGAAAAATTATGTTGCACAGGGCAAACTACGTCAAATCTGACGTCTACCGCCTGTTTTTCGGTTGAAAAATTATATTGTACTAGGCAAACTAGGTGAATTTTGATGTCTCGGGCACGTTTTTTGCGATTTTCGGTTGAAAAATTATGTTGTACTAGGCAAACTACGTCAAATCTGACGTCTAACGCCTGTTTTTCGGTTGAAAAATTATATTGTACTAGGCAAACTAGGTGAATTTTGATGTCTCGGGCCCGTTTTTTGCGATTTTCGGTTGAAAAATTATATTGTACTAGGCAAAACAATTCAAATTTTCTTAAAAACAGTATAAAACTTACATTACCCAAGGTGTGGCGAGACAACACAACACACAACTAAAAGCCGGAAATTATTGCAGTCGTTTTCCTGCCGAACTCACGTACTGAAACCGGAAATCAGGGAGATCACGAAAATTGGCAGAATTTTCTTGGCATTTCGTTTAAAACGAGAATTTCTATAGACGAAAATCGACCATTTCATGTCCGAACAAGAAGAACGACGGTGTTGTCTCGCCATACTTCGGGTAATGTAGGTTTTATACTGTTTTTAAAAAAAATTTAACTGTTTTGCGTAGAAAAATATAATTTTTCGACCTAAAAGCAGGCGGTAGACGTCAGATTTGACGTAGTTTGCCTTGTGCAATATAATTTTTCAACCGAAAATCGCAAAAAACGGGTCCTAGACATCAAAGTTAACCTAGTTTGGTTAGTACAATGTAATTTTTCAACCGAGAATCACAAAAAACGGGCCCTAGACATCAAAGTTGACATAGTTTACCTAGTACAATATAATTTTTCAATCAAAAAAGCAGGTGTTTAAGTCAAATTTTACCGAGATTGCGTTGCTAGGATAAGAAAAATCTAAACAGGCGATCGTGCAAAAAAATTTAGCTTCATTGAGCACAAATTCGTCCCTTGGTCCCCCCTTACCACTTTTTTACACCCCTCGACGAAAAATTAAAATTTGTCCAATTCAGTTTTTTCGACAAACCAAAACCTTAAAACTCAGTCCGTTCCTTGGACAAATCACAAAAATCCATGGAAATGTAGTCGTGCAAACTGAATTTGCAGATTTTAGTCCAACGCGTGGACATAGGTTGGCGAAGGCTCGCCCAAATGGACTTTATTTGGCGATTTCAGTCCAAAGTGGCACTTTGGACTGAATTTTGCACTTTTTGCTGGATTCATTTTTGAAATTTATAAAGCCCGATCCATATATTGACACTTTGTGCAAACTCAAAGCAAACAAATTTATTCATGTATCGAAATTCTCCATCTTTTCAAGTTGAAAATTATTCCACACTTTTCTCCACGCCTCGTCCTTGTCGTAATGAGTTCTTTCCCGCGTTTCCATCGAATAAAACCGCCAATCGACCAAGATTTGGTCGAAAAAATTGGTGGGATAGTCGTCCATTTCCAAGTCCTCCATTCGAATGTGGCCCATCTCCAATGGCCTCCACAAAAACTCGTAATGCCTTTTCAAGGCGGCGGTGATGGTGTAGTCGACTTGTCGAAAGTATTCTGCACAGTAATTCACATCAATCGAGAGGATGATATCGCCCTCTTCGACGCGCGGAATCGCAATACGAAAGTCGGAGTCGATGCGGGTTTGGACGACGCTGAAAGAAAAAACGTTTGGATTTCGATTATTTCAAGATGCAAGAAAGCGAGAGAAAATGTCCATGCACTTTATGAAAAAGATCTAGGCTACTTATCTATCCCAGAAAACTTTAGCTCGTGCCTTTCTTTACACATTCTACCGGGGAAAAAATACATTTTTTTTGGAAAATATTGTACTTCTCGGCGCAAAGTCCTGAGAATTTCGCGAATAAATCTCCATGCACTTTATGAAAATGCTAATAAATTAAACAAGAAATTTTACCCGGGCCAGGCTTTCAAAATTTGCCAGACCAGAGCCGGGCTTGGAAAATTGGGTCCGGGCTCGCGGCCCCGATTGCAGCCATGCTGACAGTGGCGGACTTGATTCAGTGGCAAAAACATACCATTTTGCATCCGGGAAGTATCAAAAACGCAACAAAATACCTCTTTCTCCAAGTGAAAAGACTCCATTTTGAAAAGCGCGCCCCCTCTTTTTTGTGAGGGAAAGTGGCGTGCTCTTCAAAAAGGAGTTTTTTTCACTTGGAGAGGGAGGTATTTTGCTACATTTTTGATACTTCCTGGATGCAAAATGGTACGTCTTTTGCCCCTCATGTCTTTCTGATACAGTGGGGGAGCTGTTTCAGTGGCAAAAACCTACCATTTTGCATCCAGAAAGCATCAAAAATATGTCAAAATACCTCCCTCTCAAGTGGAAAAAACTCAGATTTCAAAAGCGCGCCCGCTCTCTTTGTGAGGAAAAAGGGCGCGTCCTTCAAAACGAAGTTTTTTTCACTTGGAGAGGGAAGCATTTTGCCACATTTTTTGATACTTCCCGGATGCAAAATGGTATTTTTTGCCACTGGATCAGGTCCTGCACTGTACATTAGACAAGTCTAATTTTACCCGGGCCGACGGAGCTTTCTAAATTTTCCAGTCCCTGTCCAGGCTTGGTAATTTGGGCCCGGGCTCGCGGCCTCGATTGCAGCCATGCTTACAATTACAAAACAAAAGCAGACATGAGGCGCGAAAAACGTACCATTTTGCATCCAGGAAGTATCAAAAATGTAGCAAAATACCTCCCTCTCCAAGTGGAAAAACTCCTTTTCGAAGAGCTTTCCCTCACAAAAAAGAGGGGAGCGTTTTTGAAATTGGAGTCTTTTCACTTGGAGAGGGAGGTATTTTGCCACATTTTTGATACTTCCCGGATGCAAAATGGTATGTTTTTTGCCACTGAATCAAGTCCGCCACTGTCAGCATGGCTGCAATCGGGGCCGCGAACCCGGGCCCAAATTTCCAAGCCCGGCTCTGGTCTGGCAAATTTTGAAAGCCCCGCCCGGGTAAAATTTCTTGTCTAATTTACAGTGGAGGACCTGATCCAGTGGCAAAAAATACCATTTTGCATCCGGGAAGTATCAAAAAATGTGGCAAAATGCTTCCCTCTCCAAGTGAAAAAAACTTCGTTTTGAAGGCGCGCCCTTTTTCGTCACAAAGAGAGCGGGCGCGCTTTTGAAATCTGAGTTTTTTTTTCACTTGGAGAGGGAGGTATTTTGGCACATTTTTTGATGCTTCCTGGATGCAAAGTGGTACGTTTTTGTCGCTGGATCAGCTCCCCCCACTGTATTAGAACTTTCATAAAGTGCATGGACATTTATTCGCGAAATTCTCAGGACTTTGCGCCGAGGAGTACAATATTTTCCAAAAAATGTATTTTTTCCCCGGTAGAATGTGTAAAGAAAGGCACGAGCTATAGTTTTGTGGGATTGATAAGTAGCCTAGCTCTTGAACGCGTAAAAACAGCAAAAAAAGTTGAAAACGGCGGTTTTAAGCCATCATTTTAACGAAAGTCCCATCTTACCCTCCTCGAGGCAAAAAATCACCATACCTCAGTTTCACATACTCGTAATGACTAATAACCTGATACGCCGTCACATTCAGCCTATTCAGTTCGGGGCTTGCCAAGTAGCCGCCGCAAATGAATCGCGCTGACACACAAATGTACATGCTTGTCGACCAATTGCATCCCTGATCACTGTCAACGTCGTAGAACGAACGGGCCGAGGGAATGCGGGAAATCGCCAGGAAGAGCAGCAATTTCGACCGCATTTACGTTGGGAGGGAAATGAAAAAAATGTTTTTTTTTGATTTTTTGTAAATATTTTTAACAAGCGAAGTGTCAGTCTGTCGGGAAAATAATAAAAAAAAAATTTACATTTTTTTTTTTTTTTTATTTTACCAAAAATTTCGATTTTTTGTTTGAAATTTTGATTTTTCAAAAAAAAAAAATTTTTTTTAAATTTTTTTTCGTTGAAACGAAATTTTTCGTCTGGTTTCACCTTCACCTTCACGTTTTCCGGTTCAAAAAAATGCCGAAAACAACCTTTGCGCGGCGCTTCAAACATTCCTTTGCGACGCGAAATCTGGTTTCTAAAAACATATTTTCTTGTTTTGTGGGAGCGGACTAAATCATCCAAGGCGTAATCAGACGCTACTGATTCAACGAGGAGCAGTGGCTGAGTTATAGCGCGAATTCTATCGAATTTTGAAAGCGTATTTTTTTATTTATTTTTTGAGTAAATTATGGAAATTATAATACCATTGGCGTTTTCACAAAGTGCATGGGCATTTTTTCGCTTTTGCACAGTGCATCTTGAACCTTTTCCCATGGCCCGCACCGTGCACAAAAACCCCATAGTTTTTGCACCGTGCATTCACTTTTTTTGGTTTTGCACTGTGCATTTGAAGTGTCGCTGCGACATAAGCACGGTGCGAAATGGAAAAATGCACTGCGCGCTGGCGACAAGCGTGGGAAAAGGTTTATCGCGGCCCACACCGTGCACAAAAACCCCAGATTTTTTGCACCGTGCATTCACTTTTTTTTTGTTTTTGCACTGTGCATTTGAAGTGTCGCTGCGACATAAGATTTTTTCCGACTGCCTGGTCGCGGTTCTTGCACAGTGCAAACGGCTTTTTGGGGTTTGCACAGTGCGCAAAGGGAAAAGTGCACTGTGCGTTGGCGACAAGCGTGAGAAGAATTCCAAGATGCACTGTGCGTAAGCGAAAAAATGTCCATGCACTTTATGAAAATTCTACTAGTCGTTCCAGAAAGTGAGTGCACTTTTTTTCGCGGCGCACAGTGCATTTTCCTTGTTTTTGCACTGTGCAATTGTTGTCGCGCGCCCAAAATGCGCGGCGACAGAGTTGAAAAAAGCTTATGTCGCTGCGATTTTTGAATTGCACGGTGCAAAAGGTCAAATGCACAGTGCGGAAAATTTGCGACGAAAGGTGCACGCACTTTCTGGAACGCCTATTAGCATTTTCACAAAGTGCCTGGATATTTGTCGCGGTGCGCACTGTGCACAAACGCCCCGATTTTTTGCACCGTGCATTGACCTTTTTTTTTGGTTTTGCACTGTGCATTTGAAATATCGCTGCGACGTAAGCCTTTCTCAACAGCGCCGCCGCGATTTTGATCAAAAATGTGCACAGTGCAATCGGCTATTTTGGGGTTTGCACGGTGCGCAAAGGCAAAAATGCACAGTGCGTCGGCGACAAAAGTTCAAGATGCACTGTGCGAAAGCGAAATGATGTCCAGGCACTTTGTGAAAATGCTAATAGTAAGAGCCCGTCCGAAGTCGCTGTGCTGATTTTTGACGTTTGCACTGTGCAGAAAAAGTCAGAGTGCGGGCGACAGCCCAAGAAAGACAATGCACGGTGCAAAAAAGTGTGCGGTGCAAAGTGAACTTTTATTTTTGCACAGTGCATGTCGCCGAAATAACACACTTTACGAATTGAAGAGGAAAAAAAATTTTTAGGGTGAGACAGCCCAAAAAAGCCACTTGCACGGTGCAGAGACAAGAAAATTTATGCGTTAAGTCAGCTTGTCGGGAAAATAGTGAGTACAGCGTTGCTACGTCGATTCTTGTCGCTGAAGCGAAAGCAAGTTGATTTTTCATTTTTTCTCGGCGGCAATGTTATTTTACATGCGACAGAGTGCCCATTATTTTCCCGACGGACTGATAGTAATGAAAATACTGGCTGTGGATCCATCCAGTTAGGTTTCCAAGATCGAGAGGTTCGTTTTGGCCGAAAATCAGCTCATGGGACCTCTGAAATTGCCCGTTATACGCAGTTTTTGTTGTACAGAGACTGTAACAAATAATTTCAAATTTTAGAATAATGGGGCTTACCAGATTCACGCAGAACGGACAGATTATCAACTTGCGCGATAATCGACTGAGCATCGAATGCGCACGGATTCATGCACAGGTAAGGGTACTGTGTTCATTATTTTTCGGATAAGCCGACACATTTTTCCTTTTCTTTTAGTTATCCCAAGCCATTGAGCGATTGATCATCATTGGGATGAAAGTGGAGGCGGTTGACAACCCCAGCAGCAAGAAGTTAGTGGAGCAATACAATGTAAGTTCGTTCACTTATATAAACTCGAATTTCCCAGCTATCGGTCTGGCCAAATCTAGCCGATTCCCACGACTGTCTGGCCCAACTTTCGTCAACAATTCGCAGCTCCATTGACGAATGCCAGGTGAGCGATTCGCGGCTAACAAAGCTCCTGGAATTGAACCGATTTCAACTGGAAGCCAGGGAAATTACGGACGAGTTGATCGAAAAAATCGGGAAAGAAATGGAACTGGCGTTGGAGGTGAAACAAAGAGCCAGAAGTATCCAAGGAATTCAAATGGATCCCGAGAAAATGGGACAATTGCAGGATTATAAAAATCGGTTTAATAAATGGAACTTTTGAGGCGATTATGTACATGATTTTTTGCGAAATGGTCACGCTGAAGCGGGGAGATAATCGATTTTCAATCTGTCGGGAAAATAATGAGCACTCTGTCGCAAGGAAACCTGTTTATAGCGGCCAATTTCAGCGGTCTCAAGAGCCAATTTTAGGCCAAAATGAAACTCCATTGGGCAAGGACCTCTCTTGGAGCGGAGTTGGACGATTGGGGAAAAAGACGATTGGGGAAACCGAAAAGTATTATTTTTCTTCGATGCAAATGTCGAAATTAGGATAATCGAGGATGCTCATTTCGAAAATGACATTCATTTTTTTGATTCTTACTTTTTTTCTTATGATTAAGTAGTAGCACTGTAAAGTAGTAATTTTCGATTTTTTTCATAAATACTCGATTCAGGGGTTTTCGAAGGTGCTGATTTCGAAAATCATGTTCATTTTTTCTGAACTTTACAAGTTTTCCTTAAGTAGTAGCGTTAAAAAGTAACTTTTTGAATTTTTTCTAAAAATACTGGATTTAGGGGTTTTCAAAGGTGCTGGTCTCGAAAATTATGTTGACTTTTCCTCCAGTACTAATAAGTACTATGTGATGTAGTACCAGCACCTTGGAAAACCCCTAAATTCAGTATTTTTGGAAAATTTTCAAAAAATTACTACGTAACAGTACTACCTAAGAAAAAAGTAACAACTAGAAAAAATTTACATGATTTTCGAAATCAGAACCCTCGAAAACCCCTATACCCAGTATTTTTAGAAAATTTTCAAAAATTTACTTTTTAACGCTACTACCTAAGGAAAACTAGTAAAGTTCAGAAAAAATGAACATGATTTTTGAAATCAGAACCCTCGATTATCCTAACTATCGACATTTGCAAGAAAAATAATACTTTTCGGTTTCCCCAATCGTCTTTTTCCCCAATCGTCCCAGTTCCCTCTTGGAGCACTTCCCCAGTAAAATTTCTGCATTTTAACCTTCCAGAAGGCCCCCAAATCCCTGCGATCGCTTTCGTGGCCCTCTAATTTTTATCTCTCCGATCCCTCCTGGCTTCTGCTCACTTGAGAACGACGTGCAACCAAAAAGAAGGCAAACAGAACCCACAACAATAATAGACTCGAATGGGATGTCGCACAAAGCGATGTCGTTGTAAGCAGATGTCCAAACACGCCTTGTTCGGCCCAATTTTTGGTTATAAAAACACGAGGCGAATCGAGGGCCCTGTCATAGTTTTATTCGATTGTTTTTTGGCCATGCAATCCACCGTTTTCGCCGTTGTTTTTAGCGTCCTATTTCTGAGCCAATGCCTGGCCAAGGAGATCCCGTTGCCGATCTTTATGAAGGAGGCCACTGAGGAAGGAAAATTGGTGAGTTTTCGGGCAGAAAACCTCTTTGGATTACTGTATTTTGACGGCCATTTTACGTCATTTGCAAAAGTATTTTTCTCTCTGACTAGGCTCTGAGCGTCGCCTACTCTCGTAGTCGCAAAATTTACATGTACAGTGCAGTTTTATAATTGAAAAAAGCCTATGGTTTCGCACAGTGCAATTTCATAGTGCAAAAAAGCCTATGGTTTCGCACAGTGCAATTTTCTAGTGCAAAAAAGCCTACGGTTTTGCACAGTGCAATTGACTAGTGAAAAAAAGCCTATGGTTTTGCACAGTGCGATTTTTTAATGCAAAAAAGCCTATGGTTTTGCACAGTGCAATTTACTAGTTGAAAAAAGCCTACAAGTTTGCACTGTGCGATCTGCTAGTGCAAAAAGCCTAGGATTTTGCACTGTGCAGTTTTCTAGTTGAAAAATACCGACGATTTTGCACAGTGCAATTTCATAGTGCAAAAAAGGTTACAAGTTTGCACAGTGCGGTTTACTAGTTGGAAAAAGCCTACAATTTTGCACGGTGCGGGTTTCCAATTGAAAAAAAGCATGTGAATTTGCACTGTGCATCTTTTTAGTTGAAAAAAGCCTACGATTTTGCACGGTGCGGTTTATTAGGACAAAAACGCTTACAAGTTTTCACAGTGAGATTTTTTATTATTAAAATTGTCATCAAAATTTGATTGCAACTTATTTTTTAAATTTTCCAAATTTTTGAAATTACATTAAACTTTCTACAAACAAAAATCTCAAAATCCAACACTCTAGGCAATGCTCGAACTCCTCTCCCGAGGCGATATCCCTCCAGTTGAGCGGCGAAAAATGGTTGATGACCTGGTCGCCACTCAACCCGTTCAAGTTCAAAAAGCCTACAAACAGTACAATGACTTGTTGGATCAGCACGCCAAGAAATACGGAATTTCCTTGGAAGCGGAACTGGAAAAGGCCCGACAAGACTACTTGGCCAAACAAGGAACCACCCCGGCCTAAGGAAATGGCAAAGTAAAAGTTGGAAAAACGAAAAATTGGACAAAATCTTATACAGTTTTGTAGATTGTATTGTGTTTGAAGCGAGTTTTAATAAAGAAATAAAAGGATGGGAAATTGAGTCGAGTTTTAGTTCGGAGGTACTCCAATTGTGACGCTCAGATTTCGATGAAACTTGGGGACAAATTTAGAATAAATCTAGCGCGCTTTGCAGAAACGACCGAGATTTTTTGGTCGAAAGTTTGCAAAAAAGTGACATTTGTTTGCGAATTTTGGCATGAAAGGTTTTGTATCCATTTTTCCCGTTGGCATGAAAAGTTTCAAACTTATTTCTAACACACAGTGTAAATCAATTTTATTTTATCGTTGTTTCCTCACAACAATAGGTGAAGAAACGGCAAAAAAACGCTTTCTTGTCTCTGATCGCACTTTTTCAGGAATATGTGCAGGATTGTAATATAAGAATCAAGGCAATCCACCGTAGCGTCTTCTTGCCATACCGTTGTTACATCAAGGTGGCCTCTTCGCCCAGGTGCCGACTTTAAAGAAGCTAGGTGCCCTTTTCGCTCAGGTGCCCTCTTTGAAAAGAATTAGGTGCCCTTTCACCCAGATGTCATCTTCCCTCAGGGGACCTGACCACTGTTGTAGTTTTTCACATCTTTACATTTATTTGACAGAAAAGTTCAGCGCAATATAGCATAATTGTATATTTTTCTGCAACGAAAACAGCAGAATTTCTCTGCAAAGGGCTTGCTGAAACTTTTCCCAACTTTACTCATCAATTTATCTATCGCAAAAGGTATGTCAGCCTTCTTCTTCGAGCTCTGTAACACCTGGATCTTCATCATTACGGCTTATTCTCTCCTAACTCTTTTCAAATGGCCATTTAAGAAGCTATGCAGCAAGGAAGAGGTGAGTTATAGGCCAGGATAAGATCTCCATAAATCCACTTTGTCATGAGTAACTGTATGTATCTCTTGTTTTAGCAGAACGTCCGTCTCCGAGGCGCTATCATGCAGATTGGAGTTGTGAATTATGTCATTGGTGTGGCCGGAGGCACTCAGCTTCTTATACGAGGCGCTGCGACATTCGTTCTCACCTTTTGCGACGCTGAAAATGGATTGGGTAACTTTTTATGTAATTTTTTAGCAAGCGAGGTACCTCAAGTGCGACGCTCAGATTTTGTTTTAATTTTTTGCATAGAGCGCCCAGAGAGAAAAAAATTGTATTTTTAAGCCATATCATTAGCAGTCTCATGCGGAAAAAATTGGTTTTTTGTGGAAACATTACCACTCTCTTTTCTTGAAATAGTCATGAAAGCCTTTCATGTCAAAATTAGCAAAAAAAATGTTATGCTTTTGCTGACTTTCGATCTAAAATGTCGGTTTTGTCTGCAAAACGCGAGCTAAAAACTTCGCATACTCTTTATCAGTCTGTCGGGAAAATAACGGCTGTTCGTCGCACCTTGGAGTCGCCCATCATCGCCTTGAAATGTCAAGACGCAACTGGGGGTTTTAATGAGCGACGAGGCGGCAAAATGAGACATTTTGCTGCGACGAGCCGCCGTTATTTTCCCGACAGACTGATAGAAAAACGTGATCCAATTTTTTTCATTAAAATCTGAGCGTCACACTTGGGGTACCTCCCCTTGAAGTTTCCTAATGGATGAACTCGTAAAAAGTGTGTCCAATTTTGGCCAAGTTTAGGACCAAAATTCATCGTTTTTTTGCATAGTACGATCCGGAAATTAATCACGTTTTTTCAACAAAATGAATCTTAATTTTTGCAAATTTTTTTCGACAAACTCTAATTTTCATCAACAAAACAAACTTCAGTTCTCAACAGCACAATTTGTCACGAAGTCGAGAACTTATCCGACCAGTACAATCAACTCTACCAGCAGTACAATCATGCCGCATTCGACGATCCCATCGTTTTTGCCAACATTTTCGCGGCCACTTATTTGAGCCTGCTTGCGGTTCTTTACACCTATGACTATGTGTATAACGAGGAATGTGGAGAGAAAACGAAAGATGTGAATAACAATTTGAAATTGAGTGGCGAATTCGGGGGCAAAAAAAAAATTTTCATTGTGGAAAATGAGATTGTAACGGCAAAAAAGATGAAAAATGATTTGATGGAGGTGTAAAAAAATTTTTTTTTTTTTATTTTTTTTTTGAATAAACATTGATTTTTCAAAGAAAAAATGGATTTTTTTGGAATTTTTGTCAATTTTTCGATGAAAGTTACCCCAAGTGCGACGCTCAGATTTTCTTCAAATTTTGCACACACGTCGGAAATAGGTCACGTATCAATTCCTGAAATTTTTAGCTCGCTCTTTCCAGGCGCCGCCGAGATATTCAACGGTCTTTGCGGCCGAGAGAGAGTACGCGAAAAGCGGAGAACATGAGAGAAAAACACTTTTTGGCCGTAACTTTACTAGTTTCGCGCCGAAAAAAAATATTTTTTGTGGAAGCACTATTCTCTACGTTAGAAATAGGTGCAAAAATTTTCATGCCAAAAATCGCAAAAAAATTTTTATATTTTTTCCAACTTTTGGCCTAAAATCTCAATTTTTTCTGCAAAGCGCGAGCTAGAAATCTCGGATATGTCTTAGAAAAAAGTATTGTAAATTTATTACAAGTTTCACCTAAATCTGAGCGAAAAAAATTTAGATATTTTTGATTTTTTATGACGCGATAAAATTGTGACAACCCAAAAATCTCATAAAAAGAAAAAGCACAAACAACAGGTAAGCGGATGGTTTTATTTTGGTTGCCCTTCAAGCGAAGAACTCGTTTGGGCGTCGCGAAAAAGTCAATTATTTCTTCAGTGGTCCCGAATTCCCCCAATTTTTTTCGTTTTTGCGTTTCTCACGGAACATCGAACGAATTGAGGTGGGATATTTCGGGTTTAAAATACGAGAATTGTTTCAAATCTTCATAATTTTTTTGAATTTTTGGTGGAAAAATGGCGAAAGAGAAGGTTGCAATTATTGGAGCTGGTCCAAGTGGATTGACTGCGGCAAGGTGAGATTTTTTTTTTGATTTTTATTTTTTTTTCCACAGCAAGAGTTAAAATTCTGATTAAAAAAATTCTGAATTCATTCCAAATTTGTGAAAAATCAAAAAAATCTTCAAAAAACATTTTAGGCAAGCCCTTGAAGCCGGCTTTGAACCAGTGGTTTTGGAGCGTCGTAACCGTTTCGGAGGTCGCTGGAGTTTCACCGAAGACAAGAAATGTAAGCAAACATTGGGATTTTTCAAAAAATTATTTTAGATATTACCCATCTCCCATCGACTCGGACAAAGTATTCAAAGATTTCCTCGAGTTTCAGCGATTTCCCCATTTCCGATCATTTCCCGCAATTTTTAAGCCAGCCGGAAGTCTTGGAATACTTGGAAAATTACGTGGAAAAGTTTGATTTGAAAAAATTTATCAAGTTAGAGACTAATGTAGTTGGCATTCGAAGGCACAAGAAGTACGATGACAATGGAATTTTTGTGGTCGATTATGAAAAGTGAGTGGTTTGGAGATTGTTTTATTTTTTATACAGGGTGCGGCAAAAAATGGAAACTTTTTTTATAACAACATCAAACAATATAACATGAAACAATACAATATCAAACATTACAACGTGAAACAATACAACATAAAACAGTACAACATCAAATGGCCTTTGGTAGCTTGTACACTGGACACCCTAACTGCCGCTGGATCTCTCCGCACCACCATGACCAACGGCTGCCATGGAATTCGCCGGAAAACGATGCTTTAGAGTATATCCCGTCGGCGAAGTGAGCCAGCTCGCGCATCACAACACCAAAGCAAGGGCTGCCGCTAGTCTCAGTAAACGGGACGAAAACCAGAACGTTTGTTTAGGACGCTCTTGTGCGTACACCTTTAACGTCGACCTTAGAACGAATTCGAACCTTTTCACGAGCATCCGCCCAAACGCTAGCATTGAGACAGCACGTACCACCTCTTGTACCATCAGTCCGCGTTCTCCATTTTCCGCATTCACATATTGCTTCAGTGCGTCCTTCAGCCTTTGATTCCATCTATCAACCTCCTCCTTACTCAAATTGTCAGAAAGACCTCTGTCTTAAAAGTAGACATCCAATGAATCCGTGATACCGCCCGAGCTTTACGAAGGCGACGTACTCCTTCGCGCGGGTTCGGACTAGCCATGTATTGGACTCGCCTTCTATACAAATCCTCCACCGATCTTTTCAAGAACACCACCATCGCCTTTTTGCTGTCCTTTAAGAACTTCGCATCGACCTCCGACCTCTGTGCTTGTGGCACCTCTCCAGCCATCTCGTTCACATCGGCCCTGTCCTCTTCATTCTGCCTCGAGGGGGTCTTCCGTTTTTTTTTTATATTTTTTGTTATCCCTGTACGTGCCTGGCCTTTTCGCTGCTCCAAGGCGTTTGTCAGAAGGACAGCATCCAGTCCGATGAGGCCCTATGCACGTTGGCTAACGTCGAAGACCGCTAAAATTCCTGTCATCGCCTAAGGCGGAATTTGTTGCAAAGTACATACGCCAGAGATTACTCCATGAACAAAAAGTGTTTTTCTCCGGAGTTGGACGACTAGGGAAACCAAAAACATTATTTTTCGTCGATGCAAATGTCGAAATTAGGTATTTAGTACTACCTGATACTATATAGTACGAGGTGAAAATAGCAGTACTATATAGGCACCAGAACAACACCACTAACGCATAAGGGTCAAATTTTAACCTCGTACTACAGAGTATCAGGTAGTACTATATAGCACTAGACGGAAAGTTAACATGATTTTCGAAAATTAGCACCAGATACGCCATAATATTTTCAGATCTGGCCAACGGTACTCTGAAGAATTCCCGTACGTTTTACTGGCGCTCGGGCGCACTCATAAACCTTGGAGACCCAATCCTTATCGAAAAGAGAAGGAGTTCAAGGTAAGAACTTTACTTATTCGATGAGACAGTCTTAGCAAGAGATACAACAGTGATTTTTCAGGGCAAAATCAGTCATTCCGCGGAATACAAGGGAAATTCCGCATTCGAGGGACAGAAAGTGGTGATTGTTGGGTTCGGCGACAGTGCGGTGGAGATTGCAAATGATTTGTCGTTTGTTGCGAAAAAGGTGTGGCTTTTTTTAAAAAAAAAATCAAAAAAAAAATTTTTTGCAATTTTTACAAAACAGAGAGCACAAAATTATTTTTTTTACGAAAAATTCATAGAGATACGGCCAAAAAATGAGATTTTTCTCTGACCGCTCTCCTCACTTTCCATAGTCTCTCGAAGAAAAAGAAAAAATTGTGGAATAACTTGGTTCAACTTGCTTCTCATCTCCTTAAATTTTCACAAATTGACACTTGAGGTATTTAGAAGATATTTATAAAAAAATTTGAAAAAAAAAATAAATTTCAAAAATTCAAAAAAAAAATTTTTTTTTTTAATTTTTGTTATAAAAACAGGTAATAATCTGCGCACGTCACGGAGAATGGCTAAACTATCGTGCCGACCCCTCTGGCCATCCCTTGGACCATGAATTTAACTCAAGATTTATGGGAAATCTCCGCAAAATCGTGCCGAAACCGGTTTTTAACAAAATCTGGGAAAAATATTCCCTTTCCCAATTGAATTTGGAGCAACATGGAGTGGAAAGGCCAACTTTCGGATACTGGAATACCATTCCGACGTTCGCGGATGGACTGAAGGAGCATTTGAAGAGCGGAAAGATCCGCTTTGAAAAGGATTTTTTGAGTTTTGATGAGAAATCGGTGGAATTTAGCGATCGAAAAGCCGAGAATAATGTGGATCATGTAAGTTTTTTTGATGACTTTTTAAAAAAAACTAATTTTTATCTAAATTTCTATATTTTTTAATCAAAAAAATGAAAAAAAAATTTACATAATTTCAGGTGATTTTCTGCACTGGCTACGAGTTCGATTTTTCGTTGTTGGAAAATGGGACGATGATTCGTGTCCGCGACAACGACAGTCAACTTTATTTGCACATGTTTGATCCGGAAATTTCGCGAGGAAATCTGGCAATTATTGGGTTGGCCAACCCATTTGGCCCGAATTGGCCAATCGCGGAATTGCAGGTGGGTTCCACTTACAGGGCAAGTACTCCAAGTGCGACGCTCAGATTTTGATGAAACTTGGCACAAATTTAAAATAATTTTTTCTAAAATATATGCGAGAATCCTGGCTCGCGCTTTGCGGAAACAACCGACATTTTTAGATCGAAAGTCGGCCAAAATTTAGGACTTTTTGCGGAATTTCGGCACGAAAAGTCTCATGCCTATTTCTACCATAAAGGATAATGTTTCGACAAAAAATCAAATTTTTTCGCTCGAAACTGCCAAAGTTATGGCCAAAAGGCGCTTTTCTCCCTGACCGCTCTCCACGTTTAGCGTGCTCTTTCGGCTGCAAAAATCGTTCGATATCTCGGCGGCGCCCGCAAAACGCGAGCTAAAACTTTCAGGAATTGATATTTACTCCATACCCGACGTGTGTGCAAAATTTAAAGAAAATCTGAGCGTCGCACTTGGAGTACTTCCCCTGTTAGATACGACATAAAAATCAACCCTTATAGGAGAAGGGCTCATTTCGACGCTCAGATTTTGATGAAACTTGGCACAAATTTCGACTGAATTTTTCTATGGCATATCCGAGATTTTTAGCTCGCGCTTTGCAGAAACAACCGAGATTTTTAGATCGAAAGTTGGGAAAAATGTAACATTTTTTTGTTGATTTTTGACATGAAAAGTTTCATTTCTATTTCTAGAGTGGATAATAATTTTTCTACAAAAAACCAATTTTTTCCGCCCAAAACTGGCAAAAATACGGCCAAAAGATGTTTTTATCTCTGACCGCACTCCGTTTTTCGCATACTCTCTCGGCCGGAAAGATTGTTGAATATCTCGGCAGTCGCTGAAAAGTCCGAGCTAAAAGTTTCAAGAATTTATGTATGGCCTCTGCCCGACATGTGCGCAAAATTTGAAGACAATCTGAGCGTCGCACTTGGGGTAACTTTCATCGAAAAAATTGACAAAAATTCCAAAAAATTCCATTTTTTCTTTGAAAAATCAACGTTTATTCAAAAAAAAATTTTTTAAAGATATTTTTTTACACCTCCATCAGATCATTTTTCATCTTTTTCGCCGTTCCAATCCCTTTTTTAACTAGAGATCGCGAATAAAAACAACAATTTTCGACTGCATTTTCGTTGGGAGGGAAATAAAAAAATGATTTTTTGCTTTTTTTATATTTTTAACAGGCGAATTATCAGTCTGTCGGGAAAATAATGAGCACAATATCGTTGCGACAATCGCGTCGCTGAAAAAAAATTTTTTGATTTTGCCGCGACACAATTCATTTATTCAGCGGCGGCGATTTTCTTCGACTGGGTGCTCATTATTTTCCCGACAGACTGACAAATCTCAAAAATTTAAAATTTTTCAAATTTTTTTTTTTTTTTTTGAAATGCTAAAAATCGAACTTTAAGGCTCGAGTGTTCTTCGCTCTGCACCGTGCTGTCTGGACTCTGCCTTCCGAGTTTTTTATGCGAGAACGCGCCGAATGGAAGCGTTGCCAAATCTCGGTGGGCTTCCTGAAAACCCGTCGACACACCCAAATCGAGGATTTCATTGGGTTTTCCGAGGAATTGGCGGACAAAATCGGCGCCAAAATCCCGTGGAAATTGTGGGTTTCCGACCCGGTTTTGGCTTACAAATCACTTGTGGCGCCATTTTCCCCGGCTCAATATCGAATTTGTGGGCCCAATTCGAATCCGCAGGCCAGAGAATATGTCATGGCGTTGAAATCGAATGATTTTTCTGTGTTTTGGATAGCTTTTGTTGTGTTTGTTATCATTTTGGCTTGGTTTTTGAAATAAATAGTTTTTTGGGGGAAGTACTCCAAGTGTGAGCCTCGGATTTTGATGAAACTTGGCAAAAATTTAGAATAACTTTTTCTAAGACATATAAGAGATTTCTAGCTCGCGCTTTGCAGAAACCACCGAGATTTTTTGATCGAAAGTTATGAACAATTTTACACTTTTTTTTGCAAATTTTGGGATGAAAAGTTTCAAGCCTATTTCTACTGTAGAGGGTAATTTTTCCTCAAAAAATCAATTTTTTCCGCACAAAACTGGCAAAGATATGGCCAAAAAGTGTTTTCTCTTTGACCGCTCTCCGCGTTTAGCGTACTCTCTCGACCAAAAAGTTCGTTGAATATCTCGGCTTCGCCTTCAAAGCGCGAACTAAAAATTTTAGGAATTGATATGAGGCCTATGCCCAAAATGTGTGTAAAAAATGAGGAGGGAGGGGGGGAGATCATTCTTTCTTCAGCCTGGGTCGAAGAAAAAAAATGGTAAGGGGGGACCAAGGTAATCTGCGCGTTTCGCGTCTCGATTTTTTTTTTCTTTTTTTACATGCTAAAGTCTACGGTGAGGGACCTGATCCCGTGGCAAAAAACGTACCGTTTTGCATCCGGGAAGTATCAAAAATGTGGCAAAATACTTCCCTCTCCAAGTGAAAAAACTCCGATTTCAAAACGAAGTTTTTTCACTTGCAGAGGGAAGCATTTTGCCACATTTTTGATACCTCCCGGATACAAAATGGTACATTTTTTGCCATTGGATCAGGTCCCTCACTGTAGCAGAAACATCGCAAAATTTTTGAAACATCAATAAATGTGGCAAAATGCTTCCCTCTCCAAGTGAAAAAAACTCCGATTTCAAAAGCGCGCCGGCTCTTTTTGTGAGGGACCTTTCAAAACGAAGTTTTTTCACTTGGAGAAGGAAGCATTTTGCCGCATTTTTGATGCCTCCCGGATGCAAAATGATACGTTTTTTGCCACTGGATCAGGTCCCTAACTGTACGCACTAAAAGCGTAATACTGGATTTTGATGAAGTTCTGGCACTGGCTAAAAGATCAATCGAAAAATTCCCCACAAAAAATCACTTTTTGATTAGAAAATTTCTGCAATTATTATATATTTGTCTGCTCAAAATACGACAACAGGCTTTTTTTTACAAAACCTTTTTCTTGCACGAAACCATCATTCGCAAGTTTGGAATAGCCCCAAAAATGTCGTCATTCCTCTTCGATGAGCTTTGTTCTCTGCTGGACGTTTTTGTTTTCATGTTGCCGTTTGCGATTGTCGCCAGGATTTGTTGCTGTACAACGGTAAGTAATGGAAAATGGGCTGGATATGGCAGGGTGGGCAGGCGGGCTTTGGAAATTTTGAAAAGCTGGCTTCTAATTGAAAAGGCCGTATGAGGTACCAACCTATTGTACTTTTTGCACAGTGCGGGTTTCTAGTTGAAAAAAGCCTATGATTTTGCACAGTGCAGTTTCATAATTGAAAAAAGCCTATGATTTTGCACAGTGCAATTTTCTAATTGAAAAAAGCCTATGATTTTGCACAGTGCAATTTTCTAATTGAAAAAAGCCTATGATTTTGCACAGTGCAATTTTCTAATTGAAAAAAGCCTATAATTTTACACAGTGCAATTTTATAATTAAAAAAAGCCTATGACTTTGCACAGTGCAATTTTATAATTGAAAAAAGCCTATAATTTTGCACAGTGCAGTCTATAGTTGAAAAAGATCGGGGAAAAAAATTTTCCTCTAGAAAACCGAGTGTTATTTTCAACAAAACCTATTTCAGATCCGAAGAGGAAGTCCAATTTCCAATTTTTTCAAAGTTTTCTGGATCCTCGCCGCCAGTATTTTCCTCGGCAAACTCGTTGAACTGGCATATTGGAAGTGCGGCGAAAAGACTTGTAAGTTTCAAAACTTTTTTCGAAATGAATTCTCACTATGCTAATTGTTCTTATTATTATAAATAAAACAAATAATGTAAACTATTTTCAGCCGCTGGAAGATCAATGGTGCTGGACATTACTCTTCAGATCATCATCTCATATCGTAAGTAATCGATTTCAAAATTGGACTAAAAATACCTTTCAATATTTATAGCCAATATCCATTATTTCTTAAAAAAAAATTTTGGCATTTTTCCAAAAATTGAGAAAGGGGCAGTGTATCTATTCTTCTGAGCAACTTTGAAAATGGTTCGCGAAATAGGGTTCAGAAAGTGAAATGAACTCAATTCTGCAAAAAGAGTTCACGCAAAAATGAATAGAATTTTTGTTAGTTTTTTGTGAACTGATTTCAGCAAATTGACAAGGGAAGTACCCCAAGTGCGACGCTCAGATTTTCTTTAAATTTTGCACACACGTCGAGTATGGACTAAATATAAATTCCTGAAAGTTTTAGCTCGCGCTTTGCGGGCGCCGCTGAGATATCGAACGATTTTTGCCGCCGAGAGAGCACGCTAAACGCGGAGAGCGGTCAGAGAGAAAACCGCTTTTTGGCCACAACTTTGGCAATTTCGTGCGGAAAAATTTGATTTTTTGTAGAAACATTATCCTTTACGGTAGAAATAGGCATGAAACTTTTCGTGCCGAAATTCGGCAAAAAATCCTAAATTTTGGCCGCCTTTCGATCTAAAAATCTCGGTCGTTTCTGCAAAACGCGAGCTAGGATTCTCGCATATATCTTAGAAAAAATTGTTCTAAATTTGTGCCAAGTTTCATCAAAATCTGAGCGTCGCACTTGGGGTACTTCCCCTGTAAGTCACTTCTGAATTTCTGAAAATTCAGGCTCACGCTTTGCAATAAGGGCCAAGACATTTATCGACCGTGTTCAAGATCTTCTCTAATATTTGATTTTCAGTCGATCGCGACCTCGATTTCTGCCAATCCGCGCACAGGGCCTCCATGGAAAGTCGCGGGATCAGTTCGGATTACGAGAAAGCGGATGTCCTCGACACAATTTTCATGCTTAGCGGTGTAATCTCCATGAATTGGATCGTTGCATCGATGGTTGCGGGGTGCTTCAAAAAGGAGAAAACTCGGCAAATCTACTCGCCAAATGACGTGGAATCCGCGACAGGAGTGAATAACGAAATTTCTTTGTGAAATTGTGCAATAAATGAGAATTTTATTGAGATTTTAACTCGATCAAATGTTGGTTTATATCGTTTTTTTTCTAAACTATTAGATGACATTCGATATATGGCTGGGGGCTTATAAATATTTGTATGTTCAGAAAATGTGTCACGATGACACCGGTTTAAGATGTGTCAGTGGTACAAAGAACGGCTGTATATGGCTAGGAGCACTTTCTAGAGCAAGTCAAAAAATTTCTGTTATTGCAAAGGATCTCTCGGTGGAAAAATCCAGAAAATTCCATAAAATCCGTCATCCAAATCGCGCATTGCAAAATTTTTGAACCTAAACCTTGTTTGTGGGTACTCTACAGAGTGTTCTCAGCCATATATAGCCGTTCTTTTATTTCAAATAGGTTCAAAACTTTTGCAATGCATAATTTGGATGACGGATTTTATGGATTTTTCTAGATTTTTTCCGCAGCGAGAAGCTTTACAACGCCCGAAATTTTTTGACTTGTTCTAGGGAGTGCTCCTAGCCATATACAGCCGTTGTTTATACCAACGGCACATCTTAAAAGGGTGTCATCGTGACACATTTTCTGGACACACAAAGATTTATAAGCTCCGAGCCATATATCGTATGTCATCTAATAAAAAAAAGATCTGTCCGAAAATTCAAAGTCAGTTTTATTCAATTTAAATCACATATCAGTAAAAAAATTACAAATTTCTCGTTTCGAAACCATGTACAACATCAAATACTTGAATTCAACTTTTCCTTTTCTGCCAGTGGGGTTCCAACAAAGAAGTCGAGATCGTCGGGGGGCCGACTCTCCGGTTCTTCGGTGGAGTCTTCTTGGACTTGGGTGTCGTCCGCCGGCCTTGCGCCTCCGTCCATTCGGCTTTCGAGGGCGAAGAAGGCGTCGGGACCGGCCAGTTGCATCACAAAAAGGTCGATCAAATTTCCGCGAGGTTCGGATTTGGCGCACTCCAAAATGTCGTTCAATGTGATCCTATAACACGCAAAAAAAAATTTTTTGAAATTTCAAAAAAAAATGAAAAAAATTTTTTGAAATTCAAAAAAAAAATGAAAAAAATGTTTTGAAATAAAAAAAAAATGAAAAAAATTTTTGAAATTCAAAAAAAAATGAAAAAAATTTTTGAAATTAAAAAAAAAAATGAAAAAAAATTTTGAAATTCAAAAAAAAAAATGAAAAAAATTTTTTGAAATTTAAAAAAATGAAAAAAATTTTTTGAAATTCAAAAAAAAATGAAAAAAAAATTTGAAATTAAAAAAAAAAAAAAAAAAATAATTTTTTTTTTAATAAAAAAAAAACAAAATTCCCCTCTCAAAACGCTTACTCATCTCCGGGATCTCCTCTTTTCACTAATAAAATCGCCGTGTTTAAGAAATCTTTCTTCAAACAGGCAAAATCCTCGGCCTTTACGATGGAAAAGTAGCCGTTGAAGAAAAATTCCAGCTCCTTGTATGTGATCCTGCCGGTTCCGCGGAGGTCATATATGTTGAAAAAGAATTCCAGGGTCTTCTTGGCCTATAAATCGCCTAAATTATTTTAAAAAATCAAAAAAAAAATATATAAAATTTCCCTCGTTCCTTTCAAAAATCCCTCTCAAAACAAACCATCTCTTCGTCACTTACTTTTTTATGGTCCAGCATCAACTGGAATCGCATAAACGCCTTGAAATCCATGCCTTTTTCTGTAATCTGCTTGTCCTCGACTAAAACTTCAAAAAGTCGATCGATAAATACATCCGTGAATGCGCGAGCATGTTCAAAATTGTTGTTAAAGTATAAACTCGACCCTTCGTAGTCCTGAAAGCAAAAAAGATTAAAAAAAAAATTTCAACTTTTTTCACTTTGCTATCAAAAATGTCAAGTGTAATATAAAAATTGATGTCAAAGTGGGAAAAATTACTATTTCTAGACATAACAGAGCCTAAAGTTTGATAAAAGACCAAGAAATCTTACACTGGACCATTCAGAAAAGTGGAAATCCTAAAAAAAGACCAAAATTATCATGGATAATATAAATACTGACCAAAACTTGGTCAAAGATGCGAAAAAAAGGTCCGAAAAGGAAGAAAAAGGCATAAAAAGACCGATAAAAACCGTTTTCGATCAAAAAATAAACTCACTTTATAATGTCGGCAAATTTTGAAGCGATCTTTCTCAATAACCTCCTTTCCCTCGGACAAAAATCGAAAGTACTCATTCAGATGGATCAAATGGTTGATATTCACCCATTCACAGCCTTCGAAGGACGACACTTTTGTCGTTTCCAATTCACGGAACTTTTTCGTAATCCCAGTTTCGATGACTTCGGCTACCGTAATCTTCTGGGGACACCTCGAGGGCAGTAAAAATTCGAGATAAAGCCGAACCATAGACTCGTAATTGGTTCGGACGTACTGGAATTGCCATAAAAAAGATTAGAAAGAAAGTACTTCTGTGGTGTGGAGTTACAGGCCGAGACATATACAGTGGCGGACCTGATCCAGTGGCAAAAAACGTACCATTTTACACCGGGAAGTATCAAAAAATGTGGCAAAATACCTCCCTCTCCAAGCGAAAAAATTGCGATTTCAAAAGCACGCCCACTCTTTTTGTGAGGGGCCCTTCAAAACGATGTCTTTTCACTTGGAGAGGAAAGCATTTTGCCACATTTGGATCCTTCCCGGATGCAAAATGGTATGTTTTTTGCCACTGGATCAGGTCCGTCACTGTACATGTCTTGACCTGTAACTCCACACCACATAGAAGTACTTTCCTTCTAAAATTTTTATTATGATTTGCGGTTCTCACCCGCAAGGCCCGGGTTCGATTCCCGGCAACGGAAAGAGATGTTTTTGGCGATTCAACGGTAAAATAGTCGAATCCCTGATATGCTTTTGACCTTTTATTATGTGAAAAAGATGTGGCTCGCTATTTTACGGCATTTTTTGGCTATCATGCGTACAGTGAGGGACCTGATCCAGTGGCAAAAAACGTACCATTTTGCATCCAGGAAGCATCAAAAAATGTGGCAAAATACCTCCCTCTCCAAGTGAAAAAACTCAGATTTCAAAACGAATTTTTTTCACTTGGAGAGGGAAGCATTTTGCCACATTTTTGATACCTCCCGGATACAAAATGGTACATTTTTTGCCATTGGATCAGGTCCCTCACTGTATCAGAAAAATCGTAAAATTTTTCTGATTCAGAATATGTTAAAATTAGCTGCCCAATGTTGGTTTGTAAGGGTGAAAAATCCCTCAGAACTTTTCTCGCAACACCACACAAATGCCCATTTCTTACATTGGAACAACTATTACAGTGGGGGACCTGATCCAATGGCAAAAAACGTACCATTTTGCATCCGGGAAGTATAAAAAATGTGGCAAAATATCTCCCTCTCCAAGTGAAAAAACTCCGATTTCAAAAGCGCGCCCTTTTTTTGAGGGAAAGTGCCCTTCAAAACGGAGTATTTTTAGATAGAGAGGGAGACATTTTGCTACATTTTTTGATACTTCCCGGATACAAAATGGTACATTTTTTGCCATTGGATCAGGTCCCTCACTGTATCAAAAAAAAATCGCAAAATTTTTCTGATTCAGAATGTGTTAAAATTAGCTGCCTTTTTGGTTTGTAAGGGTGAAAAAATCCATCAAAACTTCTCGCAACACCACGAAAACGCCTCTTTTTTACATTGGAACTACTATAATATTAAGTTGTGGTATTATTAAAATTTAATATTTTAAGGCTTATCAAGATACCAGGGTTTACTTTAGCTCAAAGCAAAACATTTGAATTGGTAAAAACTTGCTCAAAAAGGCATTTGTGTGGTGTTGCGGGAAAATTTCTGAGGGCTTTTTCGCCCTTACAAAACAAAATTGGGCCGCTAATTTTAACACATTCTGAATCAGAAAAATTTTAAGATTTTTTATTTATGTCTCGACTTGTAACTCTTGTAACCCCATAGAAGAACTTTCCTTGTTAGAAAAAGTGAAAATATTACACCTTACCTCATTATCCTTGATATCCTTGTAAAACGGAGTGTTTTTGACCATTTCGTTCTGAATAAACTCATCCAATTCCTTGTAGGTCAACTCGTTCTTAAACTCTTCAACGTCCCTGTATCCCAGAGCCTCCAAACTATCGTACTTCTCGCAGTATGACTTCAAAACTTGCTCGATTTTGGAGAGAGTCAAATTTCCAGCCGATTGGACTAAAGTGACTGGAATTGCATCGCGAAAAAACGCGGGCATTGACTTGTAGACTCGCTGAAAATGACAGACATACTCTCTAGAACCAAGAGAGTTCATTTTTCTTATCAACTCATGCTCTTCTCCAAAGTTCAAATCAAATAATCTTATCCATCCGCAAAATGGATGTCATCAGATAAAACTGGCGAAAAATGGGCAATTTCATGTCTCAAATGTCAAATGCACATTCCTGGTAGCTTCATAAAGAGTTGCATAAGCTCTCCACATGTTTCCTATCAGCTCAATACCCAGATCCCACCAAAAAATCCCTCTACTACACCCATCACAAAAACAGGTATATTCAGAGCAAAAATGCCCAAGACTTCCTCAAAAATAGATCTTATAGCCCAGCAATTTTCGTAGAAACCTTCAAAACTGCCTATTCCTGCTTGCTGAATCGTTTTCTTCCGTATCAAAACCTAAACTTCGAAGGAACCAACTAAAAATCTTGACATACCCTCCACTCCCGGTACGGGATAATTGTCTCGTCTGTTGCAGATTTCCGAGCTTTCGGATCATCGGAAAGTTTTGTGTGAATGGGGCCTAACCGCTCCAGAACCTCCTGAAACAATAACAAAGAAGTTCCGCAAATCTTTGGCCAATTTATATTGCACATGAACTCAAGAACCAAAATACGAAAAATTCTAAAAGAAAAAGAGAATCTTACTGATAACATTAGATAGAAACAGGCAGATGGATGTCTAAACGCACAGAATATCGAATTTCAACTCAATCTTACCTGTACATGCGCTTCATTCACTCGACTTTCACGGAGATGGTCCAGAAAATTGCCTCCAAATGAATGCTGAGCCAGAAACATGCCAAATCTAAGTGGAATGTGCACAAATCTTTGATGGAATCGTCCGATCAAGCAAAACTTCCGCAAGAAAAAGAAATTCCCATCGCAAAAATTATTTTTCCCACTCGAATTCTCTTTTCGCGCCCAAACTGTCGGGCGCAGCTTGCCGAGAGAAAAGTTTCCCGAAAATCACGAAATTATTCTTCCATTTTTGTGGAGAGCGATTCAGGAGCTTCTATTGCGTTTATTCAACTGTTTATTTCGATCAAAGTTTCAGAAAAAGTCGACAAAGTTTCAAGTTCAAGGTAAGGTGCATAAGCATGGACAATATCGCCCGTGGCTATGTACAGACGCAAAAGATTTCTGTTGTACTTCAATGCATAACAAGTTCAACAAGCGATTAAGTGATGTGATAGGATTGCAGCGGGTTTAAAACTATTTGGACTACGAAATCATGGGGATGAAGGGAAGGACTCGAGATGGGATGTAAAATAATATAAAAATGTGAATATTTGGGGGGATTTTACGAATTTTTGTAGAATCTTGGGTTCGCTGACGTCACTGTCACCGTCTCGACGATTGTGATCTCGGGCATGGGCTCGGATTCGACCTTTTTCCCGCTCAAACGGTCCAAAAGTTTTCGGGTCTTGGAGCTCTTCTTCTCCAAGTCTTTGGGGATCTGATTCGTGGCGATGCGGTTCAAAATCAGCCGACTCCACGCCTTCATGGGGTCGGAGGTGATCTCGCTTTGCTCCTCCAACTTTCCGTCCACCAACTTGCGGCCGTCTTTCGTGTAGGAAATGTGTTGGCGGTCCTTGGCCTCCGAAAACACCTTCATGTCGTTGTCGTTGGAAAAACGGCTCGTCGACGAGGGCGTGGCGTAGAAGTCGACGGCATCGGTGGGGGAATTCATCATTCCAAGCATTTTGAAGCGATTTGTTGGGGTTTTGTTGTGGATTGGGTGAAAGTTGCTGAAAAATTTGAGATTATATTATCCATGCGGGAGGTGGTGGAAATTTTGAAAAATCGCGGGAAAAATAAAAGCGATTGGGGGAAATGGGTAGTAAATAGTTGGTAACAGGTGTAATAGATGTGAAAAAATGTAAAAGGCAGAAAAATTCCAATTTTTTGGAAGTTTTTTGACCTAATTTGTCTTAGTGACTATAAGGCCGAAAATGTTGAAAAAATAAAATCGAATGGGTAAAATACGTTCATTGCATCTTCTAGCCTCTATTTCCAGTATACTAAAAAACAAACAACCCTAAAATTCTGATTCCTCAAAGATTTATAGACAATTTCCCACTCAGTTGCCATGTATAATATAAAAAATCTTCAAACACTAGCTCAAACAAAACTGCCTTGACTTAGAAGCCTCCCACAAATTTGGTGCGCCTTTTACTACCGTAATTCCCCATTTGATTCCCCAACAAAACATTTGATTCCAATTAATTCGCCTTTAAATACCCGCTACGCCCGTTCTAAGCCCTCCCCCAAAAGGAGGGCGCAGGTACGGAAAGTTTCACTAATTAGCCGGAACAAATCGAACTGACTCATCAGACGGACTGAAAGTCGCAAAACAACATGTGAATTTGGTTGGAAATAGAGTTGTTGAAAGGAAATTTTTGAGGTTGTTGATGTAAACGTTGGTTGAAAAGTTTGGAAGCCGATTTCTCGAACACAAACTTTCGGATTCACTTGAAATTTTGCATATAGCCTCTAAATACAATAGATATAAATTGCTGAAAATTTTGGCTCATGCTTTTCAAGCGCAGCCGGGATATTGATCTTTTTTGACGAGAGAGCACGCGAAATGAGGAGAGCGGTCAGAGAGAAACTTTTTTGGCGATATCTTTGCCAGTTTCGCGCGGAATAAATTGATTTTTTGTGGAAATATTGGACTCGTCATTACAAAGGGAACCTCTAATTTTTATTTTGAAAAAATCGATTTTTTTGAATTTTTTCGACATAAAAATTAAACAAAAATCTACGGTAAAATAATAAAAATTGTAGTTTCAAATAAAAATAACGTTGAAAGAAACCCTATCTGTCAAGTTAGAGTGCTAAAAATAGCGGAAAGAGTTGACGGATTTGAGAAATGAGAAAAAATTGGGGTTCGGAGAATCGTAAATCGGCGCGATTTTTGCAGAGATGCGAAAACAGGCGCCGTAAATGTTTATGGGAACAGTTAGAGTGTTTTTTTACTATGTGCTGCAAAACATTGTAAAAAAATTTATTTGGGATTTTGAAAGAAAACAAAATTCAAAAAAAAAAAAAAAAAAAAAAAAAAAATTTTTGATGAAATTTGAAAAAAAAATTAATAAAAATTTTTTAAGGCGTTAACGCGTAGTGGACGTTTTTGTCCCCACCCCGGTTTTGTCCCCAAGACGGTTTTGTCCCCAGGACGTTTTTGTCCCCACTTTTTTCGAGCCTTTTTGTCCCCAGACCGGTTTTGTCCCCAGGACGGTTTTGTCCCCAAGACGTTTTTGTCCCCACTTTTTTTATTTTTTTGTCCCCACACCGGTTTTGTCCCCAGGACGTTTTTGTCCCCAAGCTGGATAGTACGATTAAAAATTATGCATTCAGATGTTAATGCTGTTGGTTTGGTGCACAGTACTGCTCGAACAACTTGTTCTTAGCGCTTGGTACTGTACAGTACGAGGTGGTACTATATAGCACGACGTAAAAATTATGCCATAACACGTCAATGCTATGGGTTTGAAGCCCAGTACTTCTCAAAAATGTGTTTTAGCACATGGTACTATATAGCACGAATTTGTTTTTGTACAAAATGAACGTCTGATCAGTACTGCATACCAAAACAACGTCATTCACGCGCTATGGCTTAATTTTTACCTCGTGCTATATAGTACCACCTTGTACTATACAGTACCAAGTGCTAAGAACATGTTGTTTGAGCAGTACTGTGCACCAAACCAACAGCATTAACATCTGAATGCATGCTTTTTAATCGTACTATCCAGCTTGGGGACAAAAACGTCCTGGGGACAAAACCGGTGTGGGGAAAAAAAAAATAAAAAAAGTGGGGACAAAAACGTCTTGGGGACAAAACCGTCCTGGGGACAAAACCGGTCTGGGGACAAAAAGGCTCGAAAAAAGTGGGGACAAAAACGTCCTGGGGACAAAACCGTCTTGGGGACAAAACCGGGGTGGGAACAAAACCGGGCCCAATCGCGTTAACGATATTTTTTAGCTCATTTTGCTGAAAAAATTGATATTTTTATGTCAAAAATAAAAAAAAAAAAAATGAAAAAAAATAAAAAATAAAAATAAATTTTTTTTTTCTTTTTTTCCTATTTTCAATCAAATTACACTCCCCTTGTCGTCTGTGGCATCAACATTGTGACTTGAAGCCACAGACGACAAGAGGAAGTGCTAATTTTAAACGTGTTGTAAAACGATTTCAAGTCACAACAAACAAATCTACAGACAGTTCAAGGCCATTGTTACGTCTGTGTAGGGCTAATTTTTTTTTTCTAATCTGCGAAACATTAATGTGAAAACATCAACAGCGAAGTTAGTTATTGCGTCAATGGGAATAATGGGATTAGCTTCGGAATTACTTTGTTACAGTAAAAGAAGTGGGTGCGTTTGAAAGGTGGGCAAGGTTGTGGGGAAAGCCTTGATAAAAAAAAGTGTAGGAATTTTTGTGTAGGGTTTTTAGGTTGAGAGAGCGGATAATAAAGAGAAATTTCGAGAAAAAATAAAAAAAAAATTTGATTTTTTTTTTTTTTTTTATTTTCTTTGACCAAAAAGTGCAAATTGCAAGCTAAAAATCTCAAAAAAAATCTGTGAAATTACTTGCTTATATTTCAAAATTCAAAAAAAAAAAAAAAAAAAAAAAAAAAAAAAAAAAAAATCGAAAAATTTCAAAAAAAAAAAAAAAAAAAAAAAAAAAAAAAAATAGAAAAATCGAAAAATTTCAAAAAAAAAATAAAAAATTATGTCATAAATATGACAAACACCCTAAAAAATTTTGATCCAGAAATTTTTCCATAAAAAGTCAACCCGGAAGCCCCTAAAAAAGTAAAAAAGTCCTCCCCCGCAAGGTCAATTAGTGACCAAAAACAAGCGTAGCAAAGGCGATGTGCCTCCAGGCAAGTCGTCGCTTTACAGCCATCGACTCTTCCCATCAGATGCTTTTCTTTTATACCCTCCTTTCATTTCGGATCATCGCAAACCCGAGCGGAATTAACCAAAGGGGGCGGGGCGTTGGGTTGTTCTGCGTAGATTAGCGTTTCGTCTCATTTCGTCAATACAGTAGGACCGAAATAGAATTTTGGGGAGGATTTTTGCGGATCATGTACAATTTTAGATGGTTTTTTTTAAATCGCAAAAAAATTTTTTTGATTTTTTCAATTTTTTTTTTTATGAAACTGACAGGGGAAGTACCCAAGTGCGACACTCAGCTTTTGATGAAACTTTTCACAAATTTAGAATAACCTTCTGTAAGACATATGTGAGACTTCAAGCTCGCGCTTTGCAGAAATTACCGAGATTTTTAGATCGAAAGTCGAGCAAAATGAGAATTTTTTTTGCAAATTTGGCCATGGAAAGTTTCATACCTATTTCTACCGTAGAAAGTAATGTTTCCGCAAAAAATCAATTTTTTCCGCGCGAAACTGGCAAAGATATGGCCAAAAAGGTTTCTGTCTGACCGCTCTCCGCGTTTCACGCACTCTCTAGGCCGCAAAGATCGTTGAATATCTCGGCTGAACTTACAAAGCACAAGCTGAAATTTGAGAATTGATATGTGGCCTAGTCCCGACAAGTGTGCAAAATTTAAAGAAAATCTGAACGTCGCTTTTGTGGCACTTTCCTTGTCAGATTTTCTTTTTATTTTGCACACAAGTTGGGCCTTGGCCACATATCAATTCCCAAAAATTTCAGCTCGCGCTTTGCAGTGTCAGCCGAGATATTCAACGGTCTTTGCGGCCGAGAGAGCGCGCGAAATGCGGAGAGCGGTCAGAGAGAAACTTTTTTTGGCCATATCTTTGCCAATTTCATGCGGAAAAATATGATTTTTTGTGGAAACATTGCTCTCCACGGTAGAAATAGCCATGAAACTTTTCATGTCAAAATTTGCAAAAAAAATTGTCGCATTTTTCCCAACTTTCGACCTAAAAATCTCGGTAGTTTCTGCAAAGCGCGGGCTAGAAGTCTTGCATATGTCTTACAGAAAGTTATTCTAAATTTGTGCCAAGTTTCATCAACATCTGATCGTCTCTTTTCGAGAAATTACGGTCCAATCCGAGCTCTTCAAACCGCAAAAACCGAAATTTTTCATTTCCTCATGAGCTTTCTTATTGACAGCAAATTTGCTGATTTGTTTACAACAAATCACATTGAAATCCTTGACTTGTTCGTTAACGACTATGTTTAATAAACACGGTTCATTCGCTCAGTCGTATGAATTACTATGTGACCCGTTTACTGAGTAATTGCTCGGGGCAGCAACCGATTTGGCGGAAGTCCTGCAGTCTTGCAAGAGTTCAGCTGATCTCTGTTGGAACGTTGCATAAACATGTTTACGAAAAATGGGAAAGCAAAAAAAATGATTCAGCGAGGGATTTGAATTCGTTGTAGAGCTTGCTGGAGATTTTATTTTTAGGTCAAGTTTGGGGAAGCTGATTCATCGCTGAAGTTGAGCTGAGTGATAAAAAATGAGCCGGAAATTGGTTGATGTTTTCGAATACGGTAACACTTTTGATCAACTAAAAAATAAAGGGTTTTTTCCAATTTTGGCTTTTCTAAATATGGATTGCACTGTGCAAAATCGTAGGCTTTTTTCAATTAGAAAACTGCACTGTGCAAAATCACAGGCTTTTTTCAATTATGAAACTGCACTGTGCAAAATCATAGGTTTTTTTCAATTAGAAAACTGCACTGTGCAAAACCGTAGGCCTT